CTATTTCCTGTCTCACCACCACGGCTACGGCTACGGGACGTTTGACTATCAGAGCATCACCGTCCCTTTCTTGCCCCTCGAGAACAAGCCGAATCAGCTTGCCACTCCTGCACGGTGCTTTGCAGACGAAGGAGCTGCTCTGCTCGGTTTCGATATCTTGAAACGCGACTGGACTCCTCATGCGCCCAAATTCGGCGTACGACAGCATCCGCCAATGGATCAGTGCATCAATATACTCGCAACCCAGCCACCAAGCACGTATAACGACGCACGCGTCCTCTTCAGCTATTTTGCCGGACGCTTGGGAGAGATCAACACCAACAGTATGGCGCGGCTGAGTGATCTGAACTTTATTCCCATCTTCGTGAAGGGTAAAGAGAAGTCGGCGCCCAAAAGCCACACTTCGCCCCGAAACTGCTTCCTGGGCGAAAGTGAGGCTTTCGGCGAGATTTTTCACTTCGTGGATTTTGGCGCTGAGGCGAACTCGTTCCTCATCAAATGCGGCTGTAAGCAGGAGCCTTCCAAGTTGGAAATCGCGCAGATTCTTGTGAAAGAACCCGCACGCATCTCTGCAACTTTCCGCAACGCCGAGAAATACATGGCTCTCCTCCGGAGCATGGCCGAGGCCACTAAAACTCTTAAGAAGCACAAAGATCTTTGGGCAGAAATGAGGAGAGCGCCCTTCCTCCTTGCGAGCAGGGAACTGCCACCCACGTCTCCCGTAGCCAAGCATGCCGGCCATGCTGACGAAGCCGATCATCTAGATGAGGACGAAGTTCAGGGTATCCGTGAATTCCAGCTGTGCAGCGCCGCAGATGCCATCATTATCGACGACTACCTCAACTACAATCTGTTCAAGGCAGACATCCTTGCGGCACCGCAGGAAGAAAGCCTCGAGGACTTCTACTTCGCTCTCGGATCTCCGTTGCTCAGCTCGCTGGTGGAGGAAGCGGCTCGCCACGGGCCCCGAGCTCTGGATCAAAAGCCTGCACAAAAACTACAGAAGCAAATCCTGGAGAGGTCGACCCTGTTTCTACACGAACAGCCTCCGGACACCATCAAGCATGACGCGAAGTGGCTGGAGAAGAATCTGCAGGTCCAGCTGGTGTCGTCGATTTCTCTGAGAAGATCGCTGCGAGGACGAAACGTCAGCCACACCGAAAAGCGCACGGCGGTCATAACAGCGGTCAACAAGGAGTACACGCTCTGGATCACAGGAGCCAAACCGGACTTGTACCAGGTCAGCCAAGCTCTGGTGCACATCTTGCTCACCCGACCAAAGCTTCATTCGGCCATCACGCTCGAAATGCTGTTAAAGACTGATCTGCTCGACCTTCGCGCTCGAGGCTTCAACGTCTCGCGCATCCTGCGGCAGAAGGCTGCTGAAGCGAGACTGGCTGAAAGCAAACGACAGCAACAGCTCGAAGAGCAGCAGAAGCGCATTGAGGAAGAGGAACAGGCATGGCGAGCTTCTCAAGCGCAGGTCGAGAAGGAGGGAGGCCGACGAGACCACGTACCAGGTGGATTCCCAGACTCGCCCGACAACCGATCATTGACAGCGCCCGAGCCAGCCACGCCCACGCCGATCAATGCAGAGGACGTCCGCAGACATGGTCGCAATCTGTTCTCCAACTTGTCCCGTCAGCTGGGATTTGGCAATAACCGTCACATTCAACAGATGCTGGGTAATAATGACGATGGCGGCCAACGAGCGCTGACCAGTGCGAGCGGGACAACCGATCCTCCGCCGCCATACCAATACAATCAGCAAGGCGACCAAGCACAACCCAAGCCGACTGGCGGCTCGGTGACGGCGCCTCACCAACTGCGCGAGAATCTACTTACAGCCATCAAAAAGTCTCGCGCACACAACTCGTCCGACATCTTCAGCCGCGGAGAGACCAATGTCCTTCAGGAAACGAAATCGTACTGCGACGAGCACCCGGCCCACGATCTCACGTTTGTGGCGGAAATCAAACATGGTATCAACTGCTACCTGGCACCCTCGTCCGTTGGCAACTCCAGCCAATTCCTGCAACAGCACTCTTTCGGCCTCACGTCGTTTGCCAACCTCCTGAACTCTCTCGCCGACGTCTTTTCCCTCGGCCCACAAACGCTGAACATCTTTTTTGAAACATCTGGCAAGACCATCGGGTTCAATCGCAACGGGTCGATCTTCTGCAACTATCGATACTTTGAACAACTCCACGAGCGGAATATTGTGAGCCAAGGGACAGGAGGGGAGGCCTATGCCGAGGCGTTTGTATACTGGTGGGTGATTCTGTGTCATGAGTTGGCCCATAATCTTGTGGGCGACCATAGCAGCGATCACAGCTATTACACCGAAGGGTTCGTGGCGCAGTATTTCGGGAGGGTAGTCAGGGTGTTGGGTCAGAGTCAGGGCCAAGCTCAAGCACAGCAACTACCGGTCAGAGGGAGAGAGGGTGAGCGGTCGAATGCGCCCCTGGTTGAGATCTGAAACGTGTCACCAATGTGCATGGTCTTGCATTGCAAGGCGAAGTCATCGGGAGAGGTATTTATGAGCAGGGCATAGCGGTGGCGTTGCGGTAGACTTTCATGTCAGAAGCCTCCAGTCTGGACGACGGTGTTTTACTCTTTTCATCATGGAGGAAAGGCATGTCATTCCCTTACTGTATGGCTACGTCTGTATTGTAGATTAGATGGCTCAACTCGGTTCTGGTCTAGACGAAACGAAACGAGAATGATACATTTAGACTGACTGGACATGAAGACGTTCAAGACTTCTCCGTCAAGTAGACTGGTAGATTGCGGAAACCCGAGTCACACACTGTCAAGTAAGTAAGCAAGCAAGCAAGAAATTGCTCTGACAAAGGTGTAGCCAAGTCACGTCCTTCCCGTGTTCCGCCGTCAATAATGATCAAGGTGGTGGCCTCTAGAGCTGGTGAATACATCTACTACGTACTACTGCGGCACCGACGCCGGCATATATTTCCACACCAAGGTAGTTTGTCTTGTCTATCACGGGCGCTGCCCCTTTTATCAACCCCCTTGGACGCATCGATCGACCGCGATGAACTTAGAGCGACTCTTGTTGGACTCCTGGTTTTCGTTTTCGCGGTCCTCCATGAGCTGGAGACCTGGAGCCCTGGAGCCCTGGAGACCTACGTGAACGATACTCAATTGCCTGCCGGGGTGTAGTCTTTTTCCACAGCGCTGGATGACCACAGCATCAACTCGTCTCCACGGTTTCTTTCGACGAGGTGTCGAAGGACCTACCATGAGAAATCATGCACATCAAGCCACCAAAGGTCAACAGGCCCCCAGGATCCCAAGAGGTTCTCGAGCAATCCAATATGCAGCCACACCTGAGGCCACCACCGTCCTGCTACTCGTTCCTCTGCCTGTGCCACGTCGACCTACATATTAGATCCCCGCATCGAGGGGCACGGAACAGACAGCAAAGCGCTTAATGCTACCGGCTTCGAAATCGGTCATTCTGAGTGAACCGCGGCGATCACGACTCAGATGCCTTTCCGCCGGTTTTCAGAGTGATGCATCCTTATAGACCAGGTAGCATCTGCTGGTTGAAACCGAAGGACGACTTTGTGCACGATGCTACGGCCCAAGGGATAGCACAGCTCCCTGACGGCTGTTACGACCATCCTGCCGTTCTACTCTGGACGGAAGGGTCAGGAGCAAAGGCATCCATCTTTCTCGTCAGTGGCATATGCCTCTTCCCACCCCTCCCCCTCTTGACCCGGGCTGCGGTTGAACGTTCGAACGCTCACAGATAACCTCCTTTGACGGGGTTGCTCTTCACATCCGACACGCGACGAACAGAGTCGTGCGAATGCAGCACCTACCCATCAGCCCAAGCCCACCGCATCCCGATTCCAAGGCCTTGCTAGACATCGAGGATGGACAACCGCCGCTGAAGAGGAACAGCTACGTCAAGGTCGACCAAGTCAGAGTGTGCAGCCTCCGGGCTCTTCGTCCCCACGGGAACCGCACACTGACGCCGCGATCCTACGATCTGCTGATGACCTATGCGCCCGCGAAACCTGCATGGGCGGATGATATCAGTCGAGTCGAGAGACCGCGTCGCAAAGGTCCACGGTACATCGAACCACCACCGGGTTCTTCGTGGGCTGCAGGTCTACGCTCATCGGCGCAGTTGGAGGCTGGCTCTTTACTACTACCCCGTTCGCACGACCACCACACTTCTTATGACAACCGCGTCCTCGTTGGGGGGAATACGAGCGTCGTGTCCCCTCTGCTTCCTCGTCAACACGGCACGATAACAGGGCAGGGAGGGACTCGGGGCGTCCTGCATTCTCAACGAACCACCTTTGGTGTGCCTCGTGGAAGCGATCCCATGTATGGCACAGTGTTTACATCGCAGGCTCCGGTATCGCAGATTGGCCCATCGCCATCTTCGCGTCCAGCTTCGGACCCTCGAAATGACAGGTTCCCGTGTCTCGAAGCCTTCGCTATGGTTGTGTTTCTCGGTGTCGTCGGCGCGGGTTTGTACGGAATTTTCGTAGTGGTGAAGGCTCTCATTGGCATAATAGCACCGTGGATCCACGATTTGTTGTCAGGGAAAGTTGTGCCGTGGGTGCTCAAGTAGCTTGCATTGCATAGCCTTGTAACTAATGGGTAACTATGTTTGATTGCGGTCTTTGTATGCTTCTGCTGAGAACACCGGGTCCCTGAACCTCAATGTCGCGCTTGCGAAGCAAATTATTTACATACGTTCCCGACAACTCCTAGTACATCTTCCACAAGCATGCTGCGTCTACTAATGATGGTGCGATAAACCTTCCGAATATTCCCGCTCTTTTCCCCAGCCGGTGAAGGTGCCGTCGTCACGCTGTGTCGTCCTGTGGTCCAGTTGAATGGGGTATCTTGGTGTTGAAAGTCATAGCTTCATATCATGTTGAAACAAGTGTCAGATGCCTTTCGCCTCGATGGAGAGAAGCACCGTCTTAGAACTCCTGAGTCACAAATCCTCTCCGTACTCAATCGACCCGGAATCCTCTCAGCACACTATCTAACTTTGTCATCATCTCCTCCCACTCCTCCTCTTCATTACTCAGAACGGTGATGGCACCACCAGCTCCGACGCGCCACTTCTGTGTCTCTTCGCCGGTAGTTGGATCGGTCTCGTTATCTTCGCGGTTAGAGAAGGCAGAGCGAATGACGACCGACCACGCCCCGTTCCCACAGACGTCTATGTAGCCGATCGCTCCGGAATAGACGCCACGGTCTCGGCGCTCGAGATCGTCGAGGATCTCGCAGGACCGCTTTTTTGGGGCGCCCGTCATGCTGCCGGGTGGAAGTGTACGTGTGAGCGCTCTGATGCCATAGTTTGACATTGCTCGTGCGTATTCGTCAAAGGCCTTGTCCACGTCGGGAGAGATCGGAGCATGGGCGCGGATATGGGACACAAGCGAGAACACCGTTTCCGACTCGACCACGTCGCATAACTTTACCACCTCGACCTTTGCGTCATGGCCAACCGTGCTATAGAGATCGTGGCGGATCAGATCCGCAATCATGAGATTCTCTGCACTTTCCTTGGCAGAGGACAGAATCTCAGTGGCTTTTGCGCGCGTCATCTCGGGCGTCTTCTTGACAGTGCCTTTCATGGGGATCATATCGATCGTGCCGTCTTTGGCTGACCACGAGAGGAACTGTTCCGGTGAGGAAGAGAGGATCGTGGTTTTGTTGAAGCTCATATAGGAGGCGAACGGTACCGGGTTGTGCCGCTGAATGTTCCTGTAGAGTAAGTAAGCAGCGTCGGAGCTAGTAGGTGTGGTGATGGTTGCTTCTGTGGTCAGGCAAAGTTCGTAGGAGTTTCCAGCGAGCAACTCGGACTGACAAGCGCGGATTTGCGAGACATATCGGTCATGATTCGGGAGGGTGAACTTGGCCGAGGACAAAATCTCCTGTGCTTTCTTGCTGGTTGCCGAACTCGAAGCTTCGCCCAAAGCTTCGTAGTTGCTCTGCAGCATGTCCGCAATCTCATCCACCCAGAGATCATCGTCTCGTATGGACTGCACATGTGCCATCCCAGTGTCATGGTCATAGATGACGCTACGGTCTACCCAGAGAAGGCTGATCTCGGGCGTCAACGGTGGTGGCACGTTCTGCCTGTGAAGCTTCAGGTGCAAGGATGCTGAATTAAACTCGTAGGAGATGAATCCGATGAAACCACCGCTGAACGGGAGATCTGCCTCGTCACCTTTGAAACTCCGACTGCGGATGAAAGATTCGATGAGCGTGACAGCTACTTCCCTGCTAAGCAAGGAGCGTTGATAAGGACCATGGGCTGAAGATGACATATGGAAGAGGATCTGGCCGGCTTTGTATTCGAGTAGAAAGGTCTGTTCGTGAGTGAAAGAATAAATGCTGTAGCGTCCTCTCTTCGTGGACTCCAGCATGGCGACGCTGTCTGGCCATGAGTTTTGGTAGCAAAGATCTGCAATCATACTAGAAGCCCCAGGGAGGTGCATTGATTTGCGGTGTACAGAGCCCTTGCAAGTGCTTGAGATCAAAAGCAGCTCACGTAACAGATTCACCGCACTGGTGGGCAGTATGGTATCATCTGGTCCCTCAACCTGTATCGGCCTCGCTTGTCGACGACAGAATGGGCCTCGACGCTGTTCGTTGTGACTAGTCGTCGCCTTCCACCATTGTTTGACGAGTGTCTGGCAAGCCAGGTTGGACTTGCAGGATTCAGGGTGAAACTGGAACCCATGGAATGGTAGCAGCCTATGTTTGACAGCCATGACCCAACCGTTCTTATCCCAAGCCAGAACCTCCAAGCTCTTCACTTGCTGGTGGACATCGCTGCGGCCAGTATAGTTCGCAGGCCCGAGGGAAAAGGAGGATATTGAGTGAAGGCTCTGTGAGGATGACATACTCTCGTTGGAGCCAGATGAACCTGGACGACTCGCTGTATCAACCCCCCGGAAGGCCGTAAGGTAGACGCCGAGACTGTTGTAACAAGTTGCAAGGATGTCTTCTGTGCCCGAGAAAATATCTCTGCCAGAGTGACATATCTCTTTTGCATGGCCGTGACAGGGCAGGCTCATCCGCATAACTGGGAGGCTATATCTAGCACAGAGACTCTGAAATCCTAGACAAATCCCCAGGACAGGGATCTGCTGGTTTTCCGCATACGCCCATACTTGGTTGAAAAGGCCGACGTCTTCACCGTTCTCTGGATTTCCGGGGCCAGGGCCGAGGACGATGGCATCAAAGGAAGCAAAGAAATCCTGGCTCGTCTGCTTAAACTTTTGCTGAATGTTGCAGTCAATCCTGATCACAGTGACCTGGACCTGAAGGCATCCATGTAAAAGGGCGGCAATATTCTCTGCAAATGAATCATACGCATCCACGAAAAGGATCGAACCTTGGGTTGTCATTTAGACGGTTTTGCAGATCCGAATGAGAGGAAGACAGATCAACAGCCGCCCAACTTAAAAGACTTCAAGCAAGTATCCAGCCACTTATACCACAAACCGTCCTTGCACCACAGAGAAGAAAGAAGAACCTACCGCAGGCAGTGATCGAACCAAGAACTCCGAGTCCACACGCTGGGAAAGTAAGCTCGAAAAGTTTCGGAAGGAATTTTGCAGTGAACGAAAACTGAGAAAATGTCGTGAATGTTTTGCCGGACACTGCGCCTCATTGCTCTCTTGATCCGCCGTACCTGGCATTCTGTGCATTCTCTCGGTTTGTCGAGATTCACCAGAACAACACAGTGATCTTGATGGCGAAGTTCGCTTTTTACACGTTGGCAGTCACAAAAGGCTCGCACTGACTGCCTGCAATACACGCTCAAGATGAGCAGGTGCCTCCGACCACTAGCCAACTTCGACAGCAGCAGTCATGGCTGAGAACAAGGACGATTTGAGTGACAAAGCCCACTTTGACCCTAACTGGATCAGCTATAACGGAGGATACTTACATTCTAATAATGGTTGGTTTGATTTGCGTCCAGCACACCCTTTCATACTCATGAGGCGACAGTGCTCTTCTATTTTGCAACATCCCCGTTCTTCGACCAAGTGTCTGGCAACCAGTCGTTGATTACCCAGTGGGTAGGCACACCAAATCAGAATGAGATACTAGGCACAAGGGCGAGGTTTGAAGCAAATCTCCGTCACCAGCGCGGCATTCAGTATGTTGTCGAGCACGATCCCCTCGAAGAGAAAGCCACCATCGAAGGGCCGAATGGACCAGAGAACACCAATGTGTGGGTCATCCGCAAGCAGAACCGACAGAACGAGCGAGATGACAGTGTCACCGTGCTCGGGTATTATTACATTGTCAACAATGTAATCTACCAGGCTCCTACTGTCGCCAGCATTCTGAACAATCGTCTGGTAAGCTGCAGTGATAGCCCGCCACCTTCTCCTGCTGACATGATCGAGTATAGTTGAACACAGTCTCGGCACTCAACAAGCTCTTCAACGCCCCGATGGACATGTCGCTCTTCTCGGTGTCTCATGGGCACACGTACTACAAGCCTGTAAAGCCATCGACCCGGCAGGGACCGCCAGGAGCAGGTGGCCCTCAAAGTAGGGAAGGGTCTGTGGTGCCGGAAAGTGGAGCTCCCACAGCAGAGAAAGTAGCAGTAGCCTCGCAGGCAAGCGAAGAGAGCGGCAGTGGAGCGAGGACAGCGTGGGAAGCACTTCGCATGACTATCGCTTACGGAAAGGAGTATTCAGACGACATGCCGTTGGTGGGTGAGCCAGGGAATTTTCGGTTTTCTAAGAACAAAGACACCGCAGCCACAGCTGGCCAAACCAAACCTCAGAACCAGGCATCATCGTCACCCATTGGGACACCCGGTCATTCACGAGCTGGCTCCGTTGCAGCACCACCGCCGAGTAACGCTGCTGCAGCTCCCAGGGTAGTGAGAACGGGAGACAAAGCTACACCAACATCTGATGGAACAGCGAAAATCAAGCGGAAGAAGAGTAAAGTTGATGGGGGCAGTCCGTAAGACCAGCAAGCTGCATCAGGTGCAGCCTCTATATCATCGATGACAAGTCAGTGGTGGGTGGGTGGACCTCAAGGAGTCAAGTTACGTACCCAGTAGATGTGAAGGCAGTAAGCCTCACTCCCATATCACGTGTGCGGGATGAATTTCATGAGGCACCTAAGAGGCACCTAAGAGGAAGGCTGCGATGATTATTGCGTAGGCAGGCGCGACATGACATGCGCCAGCGAGATCCACCCTTTCGCCGCCTCACTCACGCCGACGCTTGAAACCTGACTTCTGTTTTACTTCGGATCAATCCTCTGCATGACAAAGAGCCTCGTCTCAGGCCTACGATACCTCATTGTCAGCCACAGACAGTCATTCCAGGTTACTACTTGAGTTGAGAGAAGTCGCATCGATTTTTGTGTGTGGCGGGGCAAGATGAAGCTCTCATTCAGAGTCCGTCGATCTGACCTGCCCTCTACAGACCATTACTGACAAGCGGGGCAGGATTTGAAGCAGCAGAAGTTCACCATCGATGCCGAGCCTACGGATACAGTATGATCACTCCTCCGGCGGCGTCGGAGAATGCGCAACAGAGACTGACATCTTGCGCTCAGATCGGCCAGGTGAAAGAAAAGGTTGCCGCAGAGAAAGGATGGGAAGCCGCATCACAGAAACTCATCTATGCCGGTCCGAGATCCTCGCTGTGCTTGCTACACTTCGGAACCACAAGACTGACCCTTAGACAGGCAAAGTGCTGGTCGATGCGAATACCGTTGAGTCGTACAAGATCGAAGAGAAAGGCTTCATTGTGTGTATGGTGTCGAAGGTTGGTCGCATCTCGGCGTTCCTAAAAGGCGTTCGACTGACAGCGTATAGCCAAAAGCTGCACCGGCTGCAAAGGCCGGAGGCCCATCTACACCTGCGCCGCCGTCAACGAACCTAGCCACACCTGCTGCTCCAGCCGCCCCTGCATCCCAGCCGGCAACTGCTCCCTCCAACCAGCCCTCCACTCCAACACCCCAACAGACGACCAATACTGAGGCACCTGCCGCTGAAGGCGGTGGCTTCGGCGATCCGTCAGCCTTCCTCATCGGGAACCGCAATGAAGCTACCGTCCGAGAAATGGAGGCCATGGGTTTCGCCAGGCCAGAGATAGATCGTGCTTTGCGGGCCGCTTTCTTCAACCCAGACAGAGCAATCGAATACCTTCTGAGCGGCATTCCTGAGAACATTCAAGCTGAACAGAGACAAGCTACTCCAGCTGCTGGTGCCCAGGGCAACCCTACCTCTCCTCCTGCAGCTCAGCCTGCTCAACCTGCCCCAGCCGCCGCCCCCGCCGCGCCTGCCGGTGATGAGCCGATCAACCTCTTCGAAGCCGCAGCGCAGGCTGGCCAGACCCGTGGAGGCGGCGGTGGTGCGAGAAGAGGTGGCGCTGGCGCTGGTGTTGGTGCGGGTGCGGGTGCGGGCGCCGCGGGTCTGATGACGGAAGGCGGAGCACCCAACATCGACTTTCTACGGAACAGCCCTCACTTTCAACAGCTCAGACAGTTCGTTCAGCAGCAGCCAGCCATGCTCGAGCCCATCCTCCAACAACTTGCCGAAGGCAACCCCGAACTTGCCCAAATGATAGGCTCAAACCAAGACCAATTCCTCCAGCTTTTGGCCGAGGTATGTGGAATCCACGATCTGAGATACCGTTTGCTCGTTGGGTTATGCTAACACGACTTACAGGACGTGCAAGGCGAAGGTGGAGAAGGCGGTCCTCTTCCTCCCGGGGCGACTTCGATCCAAGTCACCGAGGAAGAGCGTGACGCTATCGAGCGATTATGCCGGTTGGGTTTCTCTCGCGATCAGGTCATTCAAGCCTACTTTGCGTGCGACAAGAATGAAGAGCTGGCGGCCAACTTCCTGTTTGAGCAGCCGGACGATGATGATCAGCAGTGAGCGGACCTGTTTCATGCAACTTTGAGCGCCAGATCAATTTCTGCTTCTGCAGCGTGAAGAATGCGAGGCAAAAGTCCTTTTGGTGATTGGGGTGATGTGGGCATCCGTCTCCAGTGGATGCTACCATAGTAGTGATGTTGTCCCAGGACATTGAATTGCGACGGGAGGAACACGAGGGCGACTAATGATCTAACACGGTCAAATAAGGCACACGAGCACACAAGAAGAAGATGTGAAGCAGAGAGCCAGTAAAGGTGCAGATTACCGCCGCAGAGCTGCATATCAAAAACGGTGTTTAGCGAGGCTGTCTTCGACAGTTCTCGACGGTCCCACCGGCAGCTCTTTTGAATCAGAGATATCTCACTCCAACCGTCTTGGCTTCCATCTGTTAGAAGAAGAAGAAGTTGCAAAAACCAAACCAATCAAGGCGCCAAAGGCGATTCAATGGAATAAATTGACTGCCATCAGATTGTCTCCATCTCAGGACGCTACATGCACCTCTTGCGCAGAGAAGTTGGCCGGTACTGTAGTTGTGCTGACCCTCATCCCTCGAGCTTCCTCCGCTTCGATCATCTCACCCAATTTCGAGCTGAAACTGGACACGGCTTCCTTGACTGCAGCTGTGAAGGAAGAGGTTACCGGCTCGAGAGGCTCTTCTGTCTCTTGAAGAACATGAAGGTCCCCAGGTTGATTGGTGGGCGAGCCCCATTTTTCCTGCTTCCCACGCGTATCTGCCTCGCTGTGCTTGAGATCTTCCTCCCTCTGCTTGACTTGCTCCGGGCTCAATTTCTCCCCTGTATGTGCATCGACGTACTGTATTGGGCCACAAATGCGATCGACTTTCCACACGCCGAGTCCTCTTCGGCCCACGACGCGTTCAAGTGTAGGCCAGACTCCGTCGTCGCCAAAATCTAGATCATCGAGATTGACGTGTCTGCGGAAGACCGCCAGGTTCGTCATCTGTAATTGCGCTGGCGGTTGATTCATATCAATTGCGAAGCTGAAGTTCGAGACCGGAGGGTATTGATATGCTTGCTGCCCTGGACCCTGCGTGGGACTGAGGCGCCATGCACTCAGCGGGGCCACCACGTAGACGTCCGTCTTTTCCTTGTGTATGAAGAATCGTTCAATCAACGTGGGGTCACATGTTGGCATGTGTTGCATGAGCATGAAGACCAGTTCGTTTTGTGGGTAGCCCATAAGTGGAACAGTGGAGACGTTGAGAGACCGATTCGTAGCTGGGTGCAATGGCTCGGATCCAAGGAGGAATGTTGGCGGTGGATAAGTTTTCCACCAGAATACTTCGATATTGTGAGCGTCGGAATGTGTGGTATTAGTCGATTGCACGATTAGCGAAGGCATTGCGAGTTGAGCAGGAATAATCCCGCCTTGGTGATATATTCCCATCAAAATAGCAAGAGCTGTGTTGAAGATGATCCATGATGCCCAGAAGATGCGTGACCAGAATTTCGAGGGCGGAACTCGGATGCTGGTTAAGATCAATGGGACATTCGGAAGGAGGAACCTTGGTTCTTGATGAGGGATTAGGCTCAAGAAGAGTGTCCCTGCGGCGGCGGAAGCAAGACGATTGTTGGCGAGGGTGGCCTTGAGCACGCGCAAGTTGAAGGGATAGGCGCTCGCAAGCAGAAGAACAAGTGCTGGTCCCAAAAGTTGAGGCAGGTTCGCGACAAGATGTTGGTAGTGCGGGTGGAGGCCGTGCTCCGCGAGATTACTCGTTTGTGTGTTGTACAAGAGATTATTGAGAGGCGTTATTACAGGGTGGTGGCGGACATGGTCAAATAGTGCTCCAAAGGACCTGGTCGCAGCAGGTCCGGAGTAATAAGCTGTGTCGACAAGGACAGCAAGTAATGTCCAGACCAGGCCAGACAAGGTCAGAGCAAGAAAGCAAAATGGTCTTGTAGGAATGCATTAGCCCTGGGGTTCAAGCGATCAAACTGCCGAGTTCTCTCACCTATTCAAGAAGTGTGGCAACAAGTGAATGCCGGGTATCACAACGAAGGCTGGAAAAGTAATCCTGTTGAACGTGCCAAAGACAAGAAGAAATCCTAGCACAATGCTCGACGCGATCGCTGAACGCTTCTACACTTTATGTCAGTGCATTTCCATCCGGAATCTTGGACAAGTGACCCACGTTTTCACGCAAAATGCGTTCTATGACCACCAAGCTCCATAACACAACGAGGGTCTCAACAGAATTCGAAAAGGTATGTGTTTGAAAGGTCCAAGTGACATAAGAAGAAGTGACCAAGATAACCGCCTGTCGCCAATGTCGAGGAGAACGAACGAGATCATGGACAGCCCAATCTTCCAGCACGAAGCTGAGAGCAAGCATCACGAGTCGGAGAGTATAATAGATGACGGCGGGATCGACAAGGTCGTCTTCATCCTGAGCCCAGACCCATTTCAACAGGGTCATTGGCAAGCCATATATGGGCCAGAGAGGAAAGACACTCCGGATGGGGTGAGAAGACGTCCATTCCCATGTTTGACGGGCTGGATACGGGAAAAGGTATCCTATAAACGAAGTCAATCAATCTGATCACCATTGTGTCTTGCGGCACCATACCAGCAATTGGTTCAGGACCTTGAAAGATTTCATCCGGGTGAAGATAACTCGGACAGAGCGCGAAATACACACGGACAATGAGCAGGAACAAGTATAACAGCCGCCACATGCTTTCCGCTGCTTTCACCGGCCTGGATATGGCTTGAACTGTGTCATTATCCTTGGTCTTGTACGGCTTGTCATCCACTCCCTCCGACTCATTCTCAATCTTGATGGCTGCCGTGTGAGCGCGTCTTCAGACGCGTCACTTGCGGATGGCGAAATGCGACAGAAGATGAAGGGCCTGCGACAACGTCGGAGAAGAGGATAGAAACGATCGGCAAGAGGTCTTGATTGTATACGCGACTAGAAATACAGGCGCAGGCCTAGGCGCATGGAAGAGTTGCTGTTATCGCAGCCTGAGGTAAGATTGTTGCACGCTGGCCTCCGCCTTCAGATTGCGCTTCCGTGGATGCCGACTAGGTTCCTCACGAATGACGTCAGACAACGTGATTCACCACAATTGTCTGCGTGTCTGTGCGAGACCGATTGTTTGTCTTATTGATATGAGTTTATCTTGAGGTGAAAGCCACTTTGTTCACGGAGGGTGATAGTTGAATTGTGACAAAGGACCCAGCGGCCAACAACCGTGTGTCATCAACCACTATTGCTCCGGTCTGTAGCGACAATCCAAGTTGCGCTTGCAAGCACACCGATCGTGCGACTTTCAGACCACAGCTCAAACCCAGCAGCCTTCAAGTGAGTCATGGTTCATTTCAAGTTCCCTTCTTCGTCTGGGAGAGGCACGGTTGCGGTTGCGCCTGCGCCTGCGCCTGCGAACACGCTCTTGACACTCGAGAAGAGAGATCGAAGGCTTTGTCAGGGATGCGCTACAAGAGACCCGGCTTGGCAACGTTCTGCAAGCGGTTGCCGCAGTCGCAGGTCAGAGGCAATCGTTCCGACCTCTTTCACAACTGCCTGTCTCTAGGTGCCTGATCAGTTGTTTCACTCCAACACCATTATCTTCATTCCTCTGACTCTTCATTCATACTACTCTCTATCAGACTCTCCTCAATACTGAAGTTGACCCATCCTCATCACAGTCATCTCCATCACCCCGCACTCAAATCACAGATCAGACAAGTCTTTAGTCAACATGTCTTCCGACAACTCCAAGAAACTCATGTTGCAGAGCTCCGACGGCGAAGACATCACTGTTGGTAAGCGCTTCTTCCAGCGCTCTTGCGCCGACCCAAAGCTCACGGATTACAGATCGAGATGTCGCCGAAAAGTCTGTCCTCATCAAGAACATGGTTGGCGATCTTGGTGAAGATGCCATGGAAGAGGCGATTCCCATTCCCAACGTCAATGCCGCTGTCCTGAAAAAGGTCATTGAGTGGTGCACCCATCACAAGAACGATCCTCCTGCGTCGAACGAAGACGACTCCGATTCCCGCAAGAAGACGACGGACATCGAGGAGTGGGATCAGAAGTTCATGCAGGTTGATCAGGAAATGCTGTTCGAGATCATCCTCGCCGCCAACTATCTCGACATCAAAGCTCTTCTGGACGTTGGCTGCAAAACTGTCGCGAACATGATCAAGGGGAAGTCGCCTGAGGAGATCCGGAAAACTTTCAACATCCAGAATGACTTCACTCCTGAGGAGGAGGACCAGATCCGCCGCGAGAACGAGTGGGCTGAAGAGTGAGTCGTAAATTCCTCTTCGTGTAGTCTACCATGCTGACTATTTCACAGCCGCTGAGCAGATCGTCGATTGGTCTCGGGATTGCATCTGCACGAAGTGGCGTTGATGGCGTTTTGGCAACCATGCATTCTGCGGTGTGCACCGGAGTGGCTGCGGGGTTGGTGGCAGTGAGACTTGCTGGGTGATGATTGCACGACGCACACGACCGTGGTCTAGCACACGAAATGACTCCCACTCTGGGTCGTCTGGAACGGAATGGACAAAGCATACTTTCAGCAGGTGGCAAGTGGTACAGGCGCCCTTGCAGTCAACCATTGCTGACTACGTAAGTTTCTCACGTAGACACGCAAATGTCAGACAATGAGTCGATCTCCTACGGGCCTTGAGTTCTCGCTTCATGTTAAGCTTCCCCAGGATTTGAGACGATGATGGTCAGCAAGAGTGGCTTCTCAGGTTGAGTATCTTTTTCATTGCATGATCATTGCCAAGCCTGTGCCGGGGATACTCATGCTATGGCATATATCGAAGTCGACCCAGTCTTCACCATTCCATTCCGGCATTTCGACCTCATGACTTGATGCATGGCGAAGTCAACCACTCCACCTTACGCTAGCACGAGGATTCCCCCAACCATGCTCGCATCCGATCTTCAACCTCCATCCTCACTCGACCATTCCGTAGACTCATCCTTCCTCCGTCCCATCCGCACAAAACATTCCGGATGTGCAGTAGTATTGATATCGAACGCGGTTGGAAGCCGAGCTCGAATCTGATCGGCCTTGAGGTTGTGGTAGCGAGTCCGGGTCCGAGTCCGACCGCCGAATCGTTTAGATGCCGATTCTGGTCTTGCGCCAATGTCTCCGCTTCGCATTGTATCTGTAGATCACGACCCATGACATGTCAGCGATCTCCCCAGGTTATGTGTGTGTGTGTGTCAAGCGTCTGCACGTGGTTCCAATCTCCGACCACAACGCCGCGCCTCTCGCTACCGGACCGCCATGGTAGATGCTCCGGCTCCTTCTTTCCAGCTCCATCCTCAAACGTATCTTGGTACGCGCATGGGGTGCCGAGTATGAGGAATGAAGGTGATGAGAGCGACTCACCTGATGGTATTGCCGGTCCTCAGACGGATCCACTGTGGGATGGGTCGGTTCTGCTTCTGCGCTCTCGCGAGCTTCTGCTTCGTACGGAAGGATTTATGGCTCTATAAGTATTTGTCCCGCGTTAGTCACCACATTGTCAATTTGGATGAGGCCGTGCGAGTGAGGGAGGACGGAGGAGGGGGGGTAGATTCGCTTTGACTGCAGGTCGGTTGACGTTTGGGCATGTCTCTTCGACGAGAGACCATCGATTTGTCCCGTGCCCGTCAAGTTCGGACAGATGATGATGGCGTAACGTACCGGCATCTTGACTCCTTAGTTCGAGACCGAGTTGCTGTGGTAGAGGGATTGATCGTGAACTTCGACGACATCCAACCAGTTCTGGGATGGTCGTGTCCCCCGAAATTTCGCACCGCCTGTGGGCTTGGCGTTCGCCAAGGTTTTCTTCGGGTAACTTGCCTGCTCTGGGCTTGCGGGACCTCGAGCAGAGAGGCCGAGTTGATGCCGTCACCAATGCCACCCTCCATGCTCCGAGGCTGTCCAGTTCGGCTTCGTTCTCCGATTGCGGGCTTTCGAGAGAGCGTGAGCTTTGGATTTGGATCTTTCCTAATTTCTGAGTACTCAAGTTGTGCCGCAAATCCAGCTCGAGCGTCTCTCTTTCTCACCCCTGCAGCTACCTACCGTATGCATACGTGAGAAGGCACGAACTGATTCGAGCTTCAGAGCCGTTGACCGGCCGCCTACGTACTGTCTATTGAACCCCGTCTTTTGCGATATTCTGGAGTGTCGGGGGCAATAGCGTAACATGTCGTCCAAGTTACGGATATTAGTCCCCGTCAAGCGAGTCATTGACTATGCTGTGAGTCCAAACTACCTGTTCCTCTGCTGCTGTGCTTCCAGCGTGTACCATCACTCATAACTCACTACGGCTCTCCTGATCAGGTCAAACCGCGCGTGAAATCCGATCGCACGGGTGTCGAGACCTCGGGCGTCAAACACTCGCTCAACCCTTTCGACGAACTCTCCATCGAAGAAGCCGTGCGGCTGCGAGAGCGCAAGTCCCCCGTCGAGGAAATTCTGGCTGTGTCCGCCGGCCCGGCAAAATGCGCAGACACCTTGCGCACGGCCATGGCCATGGGCGCGGACCGGAGCATCCACGTCGACGTGCCTGAGGATAAACCGCTCGAGCCGCTCGGTGTGGCGAAACTGTTAAAGGCCATCGCCGAGAAGGAGAAAAGTAATTTGATTATCCTAGGGAAGCAGGCCATTGACGACGATAGCGGCCAGACGGGGCAGATGCTCGCCGGGCTGTTGAACTGGCCGCAGGCGACGCAGGCGAGCAAGGTCGCGATCGACAATGACACCGTCACCGTGGAGAGGGAGGTCGACGGTGGCGTGGAGACCCTGAAGGCAAAGTTGCCCATGATCATCACGACAGATCTACGGCTCAATGAGCCGCGGTACGCCAGTCTGCCCAACATTATGAAGGCGAAGAAGAAGAAGCTGGACAAGAAGTCGCTCGGCGATTATGGCGTGGATGCCACTCCAAGACTGAAGACCGTTAAGGTTGAGGAACCACCCGTCAGACAAGGTGGTGGAAAGGTCGAAGATGTGGATGGCATGATTGCGAAGTTGAAGGAGATGGGTGCCATCTAGTCTGCAGCGGTCGTCCTTTCACTTTGGAGTGGGAGCTTGATGGCTTTACGAACAGGGTTGCCAAGGGCATATATAAAACGGCAACGCAGGAAATTTGGGAATTTGCGGCCTTGGTTCTGAAGCACTCTGGTATTGTGAGAGAGTGTCATATCTCCCGTGCTGCCTCTCAGCCTTGTGACTGAGCTTGTGGCATGCTGTCTAGCCCTCGGTGATGTGCTCTGTGTCTGCCATGTAACGCCAACGCCAACGCTATGCTATACTGTGAATGCTCTGAGTGAGCGACTAGGCCCCTCCCATCCACTGCAGTGAGCACTTCCATTCCACCCCATCGTTCCATCCATCCAGCTCATGAAGGCATTCCTGTAGGAGTCGTTGGTTTGTTTGAGCGTAGTTTGTAATCGTGAAGCTCGACGAGGACGCAGAATTGGTCTCTGAGAAAGTGTAGATATGAAGAAAGCGAGCTTAGACCGTTCCAGCAATGGTCAGATCTCTGATCTCGGAAAGAACCTGTTCGACGCGATTATCCAAGTCGCCACGGGCATATTGTTCTCTGGTTTCCGGATCCAAGTATTGCTGAACTTGTGCCATGCGACTGTATGCTTCTGCGCAGAATCTGAGCTGGATCTTGACCAGGGCCTCAAAGCTGGGGTCGAGGTATGGAACACGGAGATCGATGAGCTGGGGGAGTTCGGTGAAGAGTTGCTCGTTGAGTTGTTCATATGCTTGCTTAGCCAGATCGGCTTCTCGCTCTGCACGGGGGAGTTTGGTCACGTCCTTGTCGGGCTTTTCCACCAGCTTCTTGACCTTGGAGCGCATGGAGTCGTAATCGAGGAGTTTGTTGTTTCGCTTCTTGATGCATTCATTGATGTCGGGAAAGTAAGCGCAGAAGCGGGAGATCGGTTCGAGGACAGTTGCTCTGTTCAAACTGGTGAGTGAGGTGGAAGAGAGGGGGTTGTAAGACGGCCAGCATACCTGTAGGGTCCGTCAAGTGCCTTGATTGTTTCGGCGTCCAAATCTTCGACGGCCTGTTTGTATGATCGAGAAACTCCATCTCTAGTACCAGCGTCGCCGTAGAATGCGTCGATCGTCTCGGCGATTCTCATCTGGGAGGCGGTCATTGCTGTAGAAGAGGCGCAGTCAGTATCGGGCCTTCGCGGATGGTTGAGTGTACGCTCACCTCGCAGGCTGTCCAAATATCCCTTCGCTTCCTTTTGTAGGCGGTTCGCCGCTGACTCCATGGTTCTGTAACGTCTGTAGCATCACGGTCAGCCACGGGTGAGTTCATCTTCAGGTCAGCTCAGGCTCACCTCTCCTCGACCTCGTAGTCCCGGTCGTTGGTCCTCTCCACCTGCCCGGTTTTCATCATCACCTGGGTCGTCGCCCGGTTGACGCCCTTTTTGAAGCCGGCCCACGACATCGCGCTCGTCTAAATAGAGATGGTAGGCTTCTCGGATCCGCTCGTTGAACTCGGCGGGCGTTTCGTCGGCACGAAGGAGGCCACCCTCTATGAACTTGAAGAGGAGGAAGAGACAGTGGATGGTAGGGCCAGTTTGAGTCCACGGAATCTCCCGTGCCAATCGCCCCTCCCAATGACACTGGATGAGGGCTGCCTTGCGCAGCGCATCCGCACTCTTGGTACGGCGAATCAAAGACATGGTTTGTGGTACGGATGAAAGTTTGTCCGCGCTACGGGGAAGCATTTTGTGCAGGAAACGTACTGCGCCAAGCCTTTCCACCCATTGACAACCACTTTCATCGACACCCATTCACACCCACTGACTCCCAGTCGACCTCTCATCCAACCACACTTCTGATATCTGTTGTGACAATCATCTCCATTGTGCTGCTATTATGCGCAGTGTGACTAACGGTGCTTCGTATGGTCAATGTGTGTCTGCCTGGTTGGCCTTGACGTGTACTTGTTCCTCTTGTCTCTATTCTTGGACAACCCCAACTCTTCGACTTACCGTTGTCGACCACTACTTACAGCTACCTCTCTGACGATGCGGTAGAGCATCACCTGTCACACTCGAGCTCAAGACAATAAAGCCGACGGTCAACACTCGTATCCCGATATCCATTCCCCCCGTGTACACGATCGCCACCACAGCCACGTAGAACCATCGATGGCGCTGGCGGTCCCTGCACGTTCAATCCTTTGGTTTGGCCTTGTACACGTCTCCTGTCAACTTAATCTCATATTCTCGATCCTTGCCTCTACCTTTCTCCTCCAGCTTTCTCACCAGTGGAATAACGTCCTTCCCAAATCTTTCAATCTCCTCATCGTAGTGCAAGAAGGCGGTCAGAAGGATACTCACACCCAAGCTCTTGAGTAATAAGATCCGATCAGCAATCTGCTCTGGCGTGCCGATCAACTTTGTCTTGAACCCATCATTGTACTGCACGAGATCCTCGAATTTGCTGTTTGCCCACATGCCCGTCTTATTCGCCGTCGAAGCCCCTGCGTTCTTGACTTGCTCCCCAAATGCTTCGACGGCTTCTTTGTCAGCTTTGCCCTGAATCTCCTGCAGCACGCGGACGGCTTCTTCCTCGGTGTCACGCGCGATGACAAAGCCATTGACCGCGAATTTCACTTGGTCTTCTCGGCCTTCGCGGCGAGCGCGGTCCTTGACGTCCTCGATCTGTTCGATGAATCCTTCAAGCGCTGTGATACCATCAGTCAGCGCTCGTGCGAGGCTAGTCACAGAAATTTGTGGTAAGTGTCCTACTATTTCCATTCATGAAGTAATAATCAGACACAGTCGCCGCGTTCTCTCGCGCGTCCACGGAATTCCCGCCCTGGAAGATCTCCGGGTGTGGTCTTCCCTCCCATTTCAACGGCTTTGGCTGCAGGGTATAGTCGTGGAACTGGTAGAAGTCACCGGCGAAGTTGAACTTGTCCTGTGTCCAGATTCCCTTCAGGCAGTGAATAAATTCCTTGGACCGCCTGTATCTCTCCGAGTGATCAAGCCACCATTGTCCGATACTGGTGAATTCGAGCTTGAACCAGCCCGAGACCACGTTGACGGCAACCCTGCCATTCGTGTAACTGTCAATGCTGGCGATCTGCTTTGCTGCAATGGTGGGGTTCCATGGACCAGGGAGCAATGCCGCGATAAGCTTGATCTTCTTGGTCTGGTGGAGAATGGCTTGCGAAAAGGAGACCGGCTCGTGTTGGAACTCGGCGCCATAACCGGCCATGAACCGGATTTGAGACAGCGCATATTCAAAACCGACATTCTCGGCTGTTTGAGCGTACCGCACGTTCGACTCGAGATCCCAGTTCGTGTGTTGAGGGATCTTCGAGATGACCAAGCCACCAGAAACGTTTGGCACCCAGTATCTGGTCCCTTCAGTTTCTGGAGTTGAGAGTTCCGAGGCACTTACGCAAATTTGATACGGTCCGGTGCTGCATTCACATCTGTCTTTCTGTCATCGATGCCAATGGTCCCGTTTGTCGCCATCGTTGCCACATCAATAGATGGCTGACCATTCAAGTGAAGGGAGTGTGGAAATTGAGAGTGAGGCGCTGCAGTATGGACACGTTTGAAATCATCTAGTTTGAACGCTTCGCCATGTTGCCATGTTAAATGACGTGCACAGTCTCCGAGTCACTGTCGGAACAGCAGATACGCAGCGACAAGGGATTGCGATTGTCCCATCATTTTCGTGATCAGATCTCATCATGGCATCTACCCCCGCTTCGACTGTTGGCTGGTATGCGTGGCGTTCAGCAGTACCCTCGCGTTGGCATCTATCCGGAAGCACTTCCCCTCGCCCGGTACCAGAAGGAACCTGTGATCATTGACAGAAAAGAATCCTCAGGCTGATGTTCCAGGTTGTCTCGAGGACGAACTGGAAGACGAAAGATTAAACTAAAGGCTCGCCATCAACCGGACTAATGATTGGTTGGGATTCCGGCCAATTAGCCTATGAACGGGTGTTGGTTATACTGTACTGTGACCTTTGTCAAGCACGTGCGTTCAAAAGACTTTTTCTGGGTGGAATTTTGTATCACTGACTAGCAACTCTCCAGAGCTGAACGATCATTCGTGGGTGAGTATGGTCACGTTGTGTTGTCGTAACAGACCGGACGCGTCACTGGCTGATTCCAGACGGTGGCACCATGAAGATCAGTTGGACGAAGGATTGCGGATGTCCTCAGGCCAGCCCAGCAGCGCGCGTGCGACATTGGGACTTTCTTGAAAGCCCTTGCGGGGAACTTTCTCATGTCGCACGTGTCCCAAGCTTGGACGCTGGTGAGCATGCACACGACATGTGCGAGTTGCTGTTCGAAGGACCTCTGCAGTTGGTCGGCGTCCTTCGTTCTTTTACTCAGGATCCATTTGGTCGGTCTGAGCACAAAGAAAACCGTCATAAACCTGCAAAAGTTGGCTGTCGACACCGGAGATGTCGGGGCTGCAGTCAAGGCGAGAGGAATAGACCATGATGCCAACAAAGACGCGTGCCAGGACAGCTGGAAGGCAGGAAGGCCATGGCCAAATGCCGGAATTTTCGAGTCCATGGGGTTGAAATCAACCCAGCCCACCCGGATCTAGCCTTCGTTCCCCAATCCGAGATGCAACGAGCGTGCGTCATGCTTCTAGTGAAAGCGCCCTTCGGGTGCCAGGAGGGGGAGCAGCTTCTGTATGTCTGAAGGCAAGGGAGTCGTTGGTTTGCATAAATATGCTGCTTTGGACGAACGTTCTGGGCTGTGCAAGGGATAAGAAACCACTTCGAGTTGGTGACTGTTATGCCACTTCCTGTGATGGCGAAAGTTGCTTGTGTCAGGCTACCAGCATCCTCCATCTGTAGAAGTCGAAAGGATATCTTCCCAAGGGAGTCAGGATCTGGGCGGACCTGCCGTGGATATGAGCGTTGAGACCTCCATCTAGCTCTCTACCGCCACAGATCAAGGCACCAATCAAAAGTCCGAGAGAAGAGATATGCCGTGACTGATGATTCCCTTCGGGAAGATCGTTCGGCAGGTGAACATCATAGTACAGCCCTAGCATATCGACCAGCTGCAGGAGCCTGTACCTGTGACTGGAGAATCAATGGCGAAATATAATGTTCGAATTGCGTATTTGTCATGAGAAGCCGTCTCCTCAGGAACAAAGCAGCCCCTCTGTCCCTCGAGTCACCTCGACGTTGAAACCACCCTATTTCGAGCTCGAGGGAGACGTTTCCTAAGATGGGTTCCGTGGAAACTCCCAAGATTTCAGCAGAGAACACACAGGGTGTTAAATTCTCGAAAGACGGCTTTCCGACTACATCTGAGGAATGGGTGAAGCGAGCTCAGGAGGTAGCTCAAATCCTGGCCTCAACAGCTGTTGGCCGCGACATCGATAATAAGTCTCCAGCCACCGAAGTCAAGCTGTTGAAGGCAGCTGGCTTGACCAGAATCCTAGGTCCGAAAGAGTATGGAGGGGGCGGGCAAAATTGGTCAGTCGCCTATAGGGTGATTCGCGAGGTGGCCAGGGGTGAAGGCTCGCTGGGCATGCTCTTAGGCTACCATCTTCTCTGGTCAACTACCGCAAACGTCGTTGGTACCGACGAACAGAAGCACCGTATACAGAAGCAGATTCTGGAGCATGACTGGTTCATTGGAGGTGCTGTCAACCCTCGCAACGCCGACTTGAAGATAACCTCCGATGGGGATCATATCGTTTTCAATGGGTTCAAGCACTTCAACACAGGCGGAGTGATCTCGGACGCCACCATACTGGAAGGTGTAGTTGATGGGACAGAGAATCACATCTTCACCATTGTGCCGACAAGGCAGCCGGGGTTCCAGTTCGCTCATGACTGGGACAGTCTGGGGATGAGGCTGACTGAGTCTGGAAGTGTCAAGATCGAACAAGTCCGAGTACCATGGACCGACGCCTTTGGATGGGACCCTCAGACTAAACAGCCTATTGAGAGTGTTCTCAAGATTCCTTTTGCGTCTCTTCTCTTGCCTACGATCCAGCTCGTCTTCTCCAACTTCTACCTGGGCATTGGACTAGGAGCCTTGGATCCCGCAAAGCACTGGACGACCACGAAGACACGTCCATGGCCTTATGGAGGCGACAACAAAGACTCCGCGCTTGACGAGCACTATGTGCTGGCTCGGTATGGAAACTGGTTCGCGCATCTGCGCGCTGCAGAAGCTCTCGCAGACCGAGCGGGAGACGAGATTTCGGCAGTCTATGCAGAGCACGGAGAAAAGCGAGACGTCAGTGCACGCAGACGGGGCGAAGTCGCTGAATGGGTGGCTAGCATCAAGGTCGTGGCAACAGACACCAGCTTGAGGGTCGCAGGCGGGATTTTCGAGGTAACCGGGGCAAGCTCGACGGCGAAGAAAGTTGGTCTCGATCGCTGGTGGAGGGATATCAGAACGCATACTTTGCATGACCCGGTGGCGTACAAGGAGAGGGAGTTGGGGAGATACTTCTTGCTTGATGAAATTCCGGAGCCCACGTGGTATACATGAACCTAGGGAGCAGTCGATGCGAAGTTGGATATGACTATCCCTAGGAATGTGAAGTAAGCATTGGGTAACATGAAAGATCACCATCAGAGGTCTATGTCCGCGTCTCGGAGGAGGAGCTTCGTGGTTGACTGCCGTGCTGTCGTCTAACGTGAGTATGTGGTCTCGCAGTTCAGTCACAAAGTCGCAGTACGCCGCTTGCCCCTGGTTCAGATGATAGGAATGCTAGAGCATTTTGCAATCTCGCCCGGAGCAGGAGAAGGCTGTCCGCAACTGAACATGCCATGACGACAAGCGTCCAAGAGAACAAAGTAACTTCGATGGACAGCTCGGTTCGAGAATGAGAACATCCACGGTGGAAAAAGGAGTCGGCGTCGACGCGCAGACCATTTAAATGGTCATGAGCACGAAGTGTCAGACAAGAATACCCTGATAGCTGCTTGATATTTGCTGGGTCGTAAATGCAAAAAGAGCGGAGGTTGACTTGAATTTGAAGCGATAGTGAGACGCTACTGACGCGCCCACGTTGGAGCATACGGGCACCGGGGACGCTACGGCGGACTATTGTGACAGGTGAGGGTTCTATCACTGGCTAGATATCAATAGGAGCCTTTGGAGGTCAGGCGTTCTTATCACGGGCGGCATATCAGTCGCGCCTTCAGAGGTTAGGCGAGTCGTTATCTCCTCACTGCTCCTCTTAAGGAGCCTCGATGTCGAGATTGTGACGGCCAAATCGGTGGCATGAGCTCCGCGGTCCGCCCGAGCGGGCCCCTCATTTCCCTGGCTTTTGGAGCTCGCATGAAGGTTCACTAGTCACGCTCGCTACGACCAACTCATTGGAAACAGCAAAGGCTGTGACCATTAGCCTTATCGCGTTGTGCCTTGCCACGGCAGGCCATGCTCGGCGCAGGCATTTTGCGATCCAGTCTCTGGGCTTCAGGGTTTGGCGAAGGTGAATGATAGATCGCTATCGGATCGTCGCCCATGCCAAACGACCTTGCTGCTGCCCTCGTCCCCTGACCACCGTCTACTAACAAACACTACGGAGCAGGGAGTACACAATAGGGAATCACAGGATTGTAGATACGAGCAGTGACCACACCAAGCCATCGTCGTCATGGCCCCGTCAATGTCCTCTTCCTCTGCCATCTAAAGCAACAACGCAACCGGGACGCCTCGAAATGGATTTCCATGTCCATCGCCTCGTCGGGCGGTCCTACCACGACCATTACCGAGCCGCGGTCGAGAAAAACTCCTTCACAGGCGAATACTCAGCCGACTCGGTCATCGTGACCCTGTCGGTAGCATTGGCGCTGTACAACGCCCTGGAGATGGTCCTTCTCGTCGTTTCGGCGTTCAAGAGGTGGAAGGGCCTATACTTCTGGAGTCTCTGTGTCTGCAATTTCGGCGTCTTGTGCTACGCGACGGGGATCCTGCTGACCTACTTCGATCTCGGCGTCCTGTGGTTGGGCAAGACAATCCTTGATGTCGGCTGGGTGTGTATGATCGCATGCCAGTCTCTTGTCCTGTACTCGCGGCTGAACTTGGTGTTGGACAACGTCTTGATCCTGCGAGCGGTGAAGTGGATGATCATCACGGTCAGCGCCGTCATCCTCCCCATCGTGGTGGTCCTGGATTTCGGCTCCACGTACTCAGGCCGGCCAGCGTTCTTCGAGGGGTATTACTACATTGAGCAGATCCAGTTGATTGTCATCAGTGTCCAGGAACTTGCCATCTCGGGGCTGTATTTGTGGAAGGCCATCTCATTCCTCAATATCATCTCTAAGGCCCAGACACGTAGGATCATCTGGCAGCTCTTCGCCATTAATGTCATCATTATTTCTATGGATGTGAGTGATCCCGCCCCGGTTCCAAGCTGCCTCGGAAGATGCATGTTTGACACTTTGCTATGCAGGTCGTGATCGTCGCCCTGCAGTTCCTGCATTATCAACTTTACCAGGAGAGCCTCAAGGGGTTCTTCTACAGCGTCAAGCTGAAACTCGAACTGAACATTCTCTCCAAGCTGGTTGATCTCGTCAATGGCAATGCAACCCAGAGGTCAAATACTCTGGAGGCTATCGACTCGGATGCAATATCAGGGCAGCGAGGGTCAGAGGTGCAACGGGAAATCTCGCCGATGAAGCAGCATACCCAGTGGGATCCGAGCTCTAAGGGGGTGCTCCAGCACATCAAAGAAGAGAACCAGCACCACACTGATCACCCCAGTCTCGAAGCCTCGTCTTCGTCCACAAAAGCCCTCGACGAGGAAGACGGAATCGCGCGGCTGACGTCCCAACAATCCTCGAGATCAACAAGGACAAGAGTACGAGAATCCGACGTCTGGTATGCCGATGTTCTCCGCTCCATCAAGTGAGTGGGCACGTGGAAGCTATGGTGCTGGTACCTCTTGTGCACACCGTACGGACGCGGATACTTTATCCAGCCAACGGTCTGAGCTTGTGCTCTGTGCACACGGTCGACACGACATTGAAAACAACAACCGAGCAACAGAGGACAATTGTAAAATGTATTACGATACCCAGTGCACTTTTGGTACGGCACTAATATGCCAACCGGAGACAGTTCACACACTTGGCCCTCCACACGATCCTCTGTCCATGCATGCATCACCGCCATCGGCTCCGTACAGCTGCCGCTCTTATGCACGCGACCATTCCTGAATCGAGGTGCGATGGGTCACCAGAGACAATGCCAGTCAATCCTTCTCAAGCGACGGGCAGTGGTCCGTCCCGTCGCACGTCCCTCAGCGGCGTTGTCCCGTCTACTTGCCAGGGTTCGCGCAGATGAGACCCTGTTCAAGCTGTTTGAGAGTGTCAGCAATATACTCTGGAAGAAACACGCCACCCCAAGAGCCACAACTTACGATGGGCAACAAGCAGCACCGGGCCTGCTGGCCAATAGCGGCGCAAATGTTGGTGAAATCCTCGAGGCTTGTTGGAGGAGTTGGCGCTGTTTAGTGATGATCATGTCAGTCTTTCTATTACTTTCCCCTGGTCAAATGTGGCGGGCTGGGGGGAAGGAACATACGTGGTGCACAATCCAAATCAGCCACGCCGAGCACGTCCGTGGCGCAGCAGACTGCCGAACTGCTGGCGCCGGTGCAGAGAGTGACGGCCGCTTGACGGTCCATGAGCGAACTCTTGCCCGGGATGGCGGATGCCAGCGCGGTGCTTGCACCAGCGAGGGCAACGACAACAGTAGAGAAGTGCATTTTCGATGTGGACTGGGGATGGTCAAGTCGTAGATGGTGACGGGAGCGTACGACTTTTGGATTGGATTGTTGAAGAGCCGGCTGGACTGAGGTAGGCTGAGGTGCGTTGAAGCTGCGATGGATCGAGAAATCACCAGAGGGTTTGTGTCGACTTTATACACATTTTTACCTCTCTTCTCGCCAGAGCAGGAGTACGAGTAGCTAGCTGGCCGACCCCAGGGATCGACCACACGGGTTGAGACACGAGCCACAGGAGCCACTCAGTGGCCCAGGATCTTCACGTCTTCAGCTCGGAAGTCTTCTATAATGACGACGATCATCAGCCCAACTCGCTGTCATGGTTCCACGAGCCGAGCAGCGACGGGCAGGTCCCTGCGAGTGCCCTGCAAGGCTCTACGTGGTACCGGTACGAGTAGCTCGTCAGTACTCGTACCTTTGCGCCGATCGACGTCATGTCTGTTGATGGAGCTGGTGAAGCTGGAGAAGCATGGACCAGAGTGGTACGAGTAACTCGTAGCGGGACCAGTACGGAGTACCTGCGTCGATCGCTTGCAAGGGCCATAAATACATAAATTTCCTTGGTTCAATGCAAAGTTATGTACCTCGTACAGGGTACAGCAGGAACAGGGAATCGGCGGGTCGGGAGTCGGCACACAGCAGTCTTACGTTCGTGATACTAGTATGTGGTTTCCAGGATCATTACCATATCAATATACTGTACGGAGTACGAGGACGGAAGTAGACGGTAGACTCACGGGCGGCACTTTGTCGACGCTGGCGACTGCTCAGAACGATAGACCGATGAAGCTGGAATAGCGAGGCGCGACGGTTCATTCCATACTCAACGGTACCCAGTACTCGTAGACACCACACGAGTAGGAAAAGGAACAAGGACAAGGACAAGGACAAGGACAGGAACAAGAACAGGAACAGCTGGGATGGCAATTCACAGTACCCTGTGCCCAGAAATGGTGAAACACAGCTGGAGAGGCAATCCCGGTTTGTTGACCGCGCAGTCACCAAGCGATGGGTGATAAACGCCTGTGCTGGAGGAGCAATGCCACGCTGATCTTCGAAATGTGGCGACGATCAGTAGATCAGTAAATCAGTGGATCAGGGCATCCGTTGTTTGGTCATACGAGGTAGCGCAGACGACGAGGAGACATCCTCAAGGCGAGTGCAAGCACACGGTCTGGAGGAAGAGGCCGTGGATGGTGGGAGGTTCCATACGAGGTCATAGGTGCGGGGGATGAAGATGTATGTGTGTGTGTGTGTGTACATTAGAGTCGCTATCGGGATATATCATGCATCTACGAGGTCCTCCTAATACTATTCTTACTTGATTTGCGTACTGTAGCTCGAACTGTCTACTCAGTCATTAGACTCGCAGGCTTGGCCGGCAATAGTTGCAGTCGGGCAGGAAACACGAAGCATGAAGCAGGAAGCAGGGCAGGCAAGACACGCCTAAACTTGAACAGAGGCGACGAGGCTGGTTGGGTGGCTTCCCAGTAATAGTTACTGAGTACGTCAATCCCCAGGGTTTCAGCGGCCGCAGCTCCGCGAATGAGCGTGGAAATGGCATGGATGGTTCCTTGCATATTGAGCTACTGCGACTTTCTCCAGCCCCAGGGTTTGACACCGTTGACACCGTGACTCCTCCATGAGCCCGAGGCGCCCTTGGAAGTGGGTTTGAGGCTTCGAGCGTCGATCATATGTGGAGAAGAAGCCGTTGGATCGACACGGCCACTGTGGCACCAGTGGCTTTTGCTGAGACATGAATGATGATGGTCGCTCGTTCGCCTTACCGAGCCTGCCCTTACAACCTAAAATTTCCATCGGCGGATCCAAGACACAAGGCACAGGCAATTCGAGGAGAGTACGAGGGGCAACGTCGTATGCATGTCCCGCGAACGAGAATACCATGCGCTCACGATACGAAAGCCATGATATGCTGCCGTGCGAGTTCTCACGGTGGTGGTATTTAGGACCCCGTACTGAGATACTATGCGTGGTATTCCGCATACCTGTAGAGCACCTGAACTGAAATTCGACTCTACTCTACGGATAGCTGTTTGCCAAAAACGCCTCGTTCTGCTTGCAAACATCAAGCGCATGCTCTTGAGATTACGTAGTCGAGTTAATTACCCTCCGCGCACCTACCGCGCTTCCTATTGTGTACTCCTCGTGCTTACATATTAGTCCATACTCCTACCGATCAAGCACATTCCCCTGCTCTGCCCGTTTCAGCGTCAAACTGACACGACCAGTCACCTGAGTACTCCGCACAGTGCAGTACAGGGAGCGACATTGGAGATTGGGACCCAAACACCCTGCGACAGTCCTTAATCGTAGCGAGAGAAGTGATGTCAGGAGCTTTGACGGCCCACTCGCCTGTCTCGCTGCGTCAATGGAGGTGACCCAGGTCAAACCCAGTCAAGCGAGTGCGTCGCTTGTGCCGCCTGGATCGCCGGCCAACCCGTTCGAGCACACTGTCTAGTATGTAGGGAACGTGTTGGCATGGCACTACAGGAATCGAGCGATTATGTTGGTGAGTTAGTAGAGAGGTCCTGTGTAGAGACACAGCAGGGACCTGTAAGACTATTGCTCGGACAAGAGTTTATTTCTGCCAGGCAGGAAAACACATGCCGTCTACGCGTACGGGGACGGAGTACTTGTACAGGCAGAGGAATCACGCCTTGATTTGTCGGGAACGTAGCTGTAACGCCGTGCTACTGCGTGCTTGTGCGTAGATCTCCACACGGGAAAATACCTCGAGAGCTGAGCGAGCTGAGGAAGGATATACATATGACACATCGAGCACGTCGTTCCTTGTTCGTGACGAGATTAACGAACCAATGATCCCGGATCACAAGCCAACCGAGGGCTGATCAGTACTCTAGCAACCGTGAGGCAAAGTCAACCGAAGCAGGCACGGGTAGATTAATAGGCTGCATGTGGTTGCTGCACTGGCTGTCGTCGATTCGCTGCGTGTCTTTACTGGCGACCAGGTCGACCACATGATATTTGCCTGCCGTGCGAGAAGACCAGATATGCCAGGTCGCCTGAGGAATATGCTTTCTTGCTGAGACATGCGCTTTCTTCATTCGTCACATCTTAGGTATCGAGTAATTTCGCTAGAGCCTCACAGGGACTTGGTCGCTGGTAATCCTTTTCGGTGCTTCTCACACGAGTCGCTGACGCAAGTGTAGGCTCATGACCAGCACAGTGCCACGCCCGGCAGGCGACACATCAAGACTCTTCAGTCCCAAAGGACTGGCCTGCAGCCACTGTCAGTGCAGGAGCTATTGCATCGCACAGCACCGCCCATCGTGTATTCCATCTTCCTTGCACCAGTGAATCGTGATGAGCTTCGGCACCGGCGCGGAGTCGGACGTCATGACCATCACATCGACCACCGAAGTCCTACTGCCATGGCGGTGACGGCCCCATCAAGGACCAGGGATGACAGAGGAGAAGACGAGAGCTGACTGCCCACATCGACGGCGGCGTGTGCTGGTCCGTCGTTCAGGTCGTCGCCTAGCGTCGCGAGAAGCCGTCTGGTGTGCAGACGCTCGTTGCACACTGAATGGCCTTCGACTTCCGGGTCTCGGGTCGGCATCGTCAAGCTGAGTGCAGGCTCAGTGACTTAACACCAGCAGATGCATTCTGTGCTATGATGTCTTGCACCATCAAAGTGCTGCGTCACTGCCATCAATGGCAACATGCGTCTGCGTCCTTGCCTGGGTAGTTGTCAGTCGTGTGGATGGCGCAAGGGAGATGTCGTGCTCTGACAGGAGTCGCTTGCTGTCGATATGTACGGGGTGTCATATGTCGTCGTCCCCTGGCAACTCCACCGAAACGACTTTGCCGGCGACGTTGGAGACATTTCGACTCGGTGTGGTGTCTGCCTGGCCTGTCCTTTCGTGCAAGTGCGACAAGGCATACAGCTGCTTGACACACGACTGAAACACTTGTCTGTACCACTGGATGCGTCCGCGCCTCATCCCTTTCTGCTGCACTAACGAGGCTGTAGCAAAGCATCCTCTTCTTCGGATCTGAACCGGGCACGCATGAGCATGTTGTCTACCGTCTTTCGCACCAATGCTGATGCGCCCGGCATGTTAGACGCGTCGGCCAACGATGTTCCCCTGATGATGTACCTATCGCACGGGACAGAGCTCCAAGGCACGATGTGGGACGTGTCAAGAGGTGCGAGGAGACTTGACAACATAATGTTACGACTGTTTCACTTGTATCGCTTCGGCTCCGTCTGTCTTTGCGTAGAGTCGCTCCTATCATCACCGTTCCCATTTCGCTTTCCTTCGGAGTCTGTTAAGACGGGTAAACGATGCAACACCTTTCCTTATCAGCGAAATATCCAGGCATCTTCCTCCGTTACTCACGACTGTTGGGAACAGACGCCGTCGTGAAGTACGTCTTCGTCTGCGGATTGGCTGGCACAGTGAGCGCGATATTGAACAATGACAGGATGATGCTCAGGCTGAGCGAAGATGGCAGCAAAGATTCCACCCAGGAATCTATGTTGAATTTCCGCAGCTCAACTTGCCTACGAGAGGAGCAGCTAACTCAAGCGCTGCGATGGATCCACCCGCCATTACCACGTACTTCGCTGAACGTGACAAGCGATGTCCAGTGCGCCGAGATTGGGAAATCCTGCGTCTAAAGTGCTCGATAAAATATATGGGCGTTGCGCCGTACCCGCCAAACACCATTGCCGAACCCTTGCCGTGCGTGTCTCATGCGACTTCTCATCGTATATCTCCGAACGTGCTCTTCCCGATTCGTACAATCTTCCAGCATCGTCCGAATCGAGTGCAGTTGGCCTCAGCTCACGTGAATTTCGTCGTCGAAAGAGTCCGTCTCAATAGCCCATAGGAGGATATCTCTGGGAAAGAATCAAGTAGTCTGGATTGGGAAAGAGAAAAGTGGTATGTAAGTGTGCAGTAACTGAAAACGGAATTCATAGTATTTGAATGTACATGGTTTCAAAGATAGTCGTAAGGAGATTCGTCGTCCTGGGGGGTATAGTTTCATAAACGACCTCACGACATGCGCGCGTAGTCCTGAGGATTGTATCTGTATTGCTGCTGCTGCTGCTGTTGCGCCGACATGTAATTCGGATCAGGACTTCTGGGCGACCTCTCCGGTACAGATCCATGGTTGGCCGGCAATTCAGCAACAAACGTTCGCTTCTCGATACCTGGAGATGCCATGCCACCGGGCCGGGCTACAGAGCTTGGCATGGAGCTCACGGACTCTGCGTAGCTCTGGCGATCTGACTGGCTGCTCTGGTGCGGAAAGTCACTCTGGTTCGGTGAGCTGGCCGAGAGCTCCGAAACCGCGGACGAGAACCGCTGATTCGGGTGCAACTGCTGTGGTATTGGTGGTGGTTGTTGGAGGTAATGTGTGCTTCCGGGCATTTCAATCGCGAGGCCTTGTGCAGGCGACATCTGCGCAGGTTGTGGCTGTGGACTGGGCGTGCCCCCGTACGTTGATTGCCTTGTATACGCGGACTGTTGGAACCCGGGCATGCTGGGCGACTGAGGATACGCAGATTGAGGATATGCAGACTGAGGATATGCAGACTGAGGCATGGGAGAGAGCAAGGATGGTGAGTAATGGCCTTGCTGCTGGAATGTTTGCGACCGGTCCGCCGGGTTCATGGTCTTAAGTTTCCCTTGCTCAAACATCGCGCTGAGAACACCCGAGTCGATCAACTCGGCCTTCTTGACAAGACGGTCCACCATCGTCTTCGAGGCAGCCTTCATCTCCTTCTTCACGAAAGACACCATGGCAGGGTTACACTTGATCTCAATATCTTCGCGCAAATACAGGCCTTCGGGCGGGGCATTGCTTCCCAACTCCCTTGACTCGGGCGGCTCGCCGGGCTGGTTGCCCCGGATCTGCCACTTGTTGCGCAAGTCCACCCCCATGGGCGCATAGACGTGTGTCTGTAGTCCCCACGGCATGTCGTGGAAACATCCTTTGAACGAGATCTTGCCTGCGCCAGCTTTCCCGATCCCCGGCACGTATTGGATTCTTTCATTGATCTCATACCAAGTCGAGAAAAACTCATCTGCGGGGGCCGTCTGAGGGGCTTTGATGGGTTTGTAGCCGATCACGAGGGGATTGAGTTCAATGATCTCGCCATGACTGTGCAGCATGTCGATGGCGAGCTGACGGGGGATGTGGGAGGGGATGGGAGTGATGTTCGTGTAGACGGATTTCTTCTTCATGCTGGGCATCGCCAAGTGAAGGAGCACCGAGTGAGGAGGGAGGGACGGAGATGCAAAGCGGCAATGACGGCGCTGGTCAAAGCTGGTCAACAGGTAGATGGAACGGCAACAAGGAGGAAATGATTGCTGGCAGGCAGCTAGATGTCAGGTTGCGCGGGAAATGTGCTGTGGTGATAGGGTTTATGCGGCTCGTCACTAAAGAATATCCAATTTGCGAAGCTGACAAGAAGCTGAGTTGGAGAAAAGCCTCGAGCGACTTCAGGTCTTGGAAGCTGAGAGCGCGGTCAGTGCGCCACCATCGTCAATTCCGTGTTGTAAGATACTGTAGTATTCACGCTGCCTAGAAGAAGACAGTGGAAGGCATTGACGAGTCATCAGCATTGTTGCTATTATAATCTAGGGCTGCAGTGTCGCTGGCCACGGATGGACGCGACCAGCAATGATCGGATGCATAACGCCACTCGTTGGATACTCATTAGCCGGTGCCGGTGTTCATGGTGGCCTGAAAACGCTCGAAGACTCTCACGGGCGTGCTGCGACTCCGCCGTTGGCCCGTTCGTTGGACATGGGCTTGTGCTGGACGTTGATGCGTCATGGGCGTGGCGAAGTGGGACAGGCGTCCTTAATATCTCGGTAGACGCTCATTAGGGGATTTAACTTGGGCCTGGCTTGTGCCTGCAACACTCTTCCACCAACATGCGAAACCGCAACTGAGGCCACAGTAGGCATACGGGTGTAAGAGATTAGGTTCCGGGGTCAGGAATGTTCCATTTACGGTCTTTTCGTCTTCATCTCCATCATTTCCTCGGTCAGACCCACTGAGTGATGCATGTCCCATTCGCCCGCTCATGATCGGCCCCCAACGCGGAAACACGATCATGATTTGTCAGTTTGTGCTAGAAGTCATCGTTCATATATCGTTGGAGCCATTCAGTCCTGCCAATCCGCGATCGGATGCGTTTCCCATAGATCCTAGTTACAGGTCAGCCTTACGAGGTGTTCTTATGGTTCCTGGAGGGATCGAAACTTACCAGAGCGGGACTGTCAAGAAACAGACAAACAAGAACAGCGCCCCAAGGATGCAGAAGACCTCCAGGGGACCGTCACGCGCAAGCCAATTGTTGACAAAGTATGTCAGGCCAAAGGTCAGGAGGTTTCGTGCATTGATGGCGACAAACGCTTCCTCGTTCAGTTTCGGGTAAGAATCGATCACGTAACCAAAGACGCAGGTCGATGCGAAGGCCAGACTCATGTTGGCCAATCCAAAGGTCAAGACCGGACCGGACCAATGCGTCTGGTAATGGACCGTGGCCCCAAATCCAAAGAAACCAACGGTTCCCAGGATTGCGGTAACAACAACCAACACAAGTCGGAATTCGGGTTCGTAGATCCCCTTGTTCTTCTTCGTCAAGTAGACGCAGATGGCATCGTTCAGAGGTCCTGAGATGACTTCTCCTGCCAGGGTCAGGATAAAGGGTGACAAACTGATCAGGCCGACCTGCGACACCGAGAAGTTGTAAGGCGGTGCCACGAATATCACACCATTGACCACGCTAAAAACTACGATCCACGTTAACGTCGTGCCATATAAGAGGAACGACCAGAAGACGGCCGGATAGAAGAACAGGATGACCGGTCGAGTGAAGATTTTGATTATCGGTGCATAGGAGTATCGGCCGGTGAAGACCCGGAGCGACTGCAGGTAAGACATCTTCGGTTCGGCGGATCCCCGAGTCGCGCTGTAGGAGAGGTGCTTTTCCTTCTCTCCGTGAGCCTGAGACAGATCGTGTTCGTGGCCGAGCTTCATATGGACATGTTCTGTTCCGGGCTTCTCGGGGTCGGGACTGGTTGTATCTGTCTCGGGAACGACGACCACAGCATCGCGGCGGAACGTGGTTTCTGGCACCAGGAAGACCACGGCAAATAGCAACACGCCAAAGAAAATGGCACAGACGCCGAACGTCCACTCGTATCCATCGTACTCGATGATATACCCGGCAACGAGGGCGCCACCGGAGATTCCAGTCAAAAGGAACAGATTCCAGACTGCGATTCGTGTCGCGCGTTCGTGCACGAAATACAAGTCTCCTATGGTGCATTGAACCAGGACCTAGGCACAGCTTGTCAGCGTTCTGTCTTTCTCAGGTTGGTGGTGAACAAGTTACCTCATACGGAGCCATCCCGATGCCGGAGATGACTCTTGAAGCTAGGAAGCTGTTGTAGTTGCCGGCTTTGGCTCCCCATATCGAGCAGGCGAGCATAATGCAGCTGGCAAGGATATAGATCGGCCGTTTGCCGTACAGCTTGGCCAAGGGATTGGTCAGAAAGAGGCCGAGACCAATGGTGAGAATCAGCCATGCGGTAGCTTGTGACAAAATCTCCACGGTGATATTGAGTTGCGCCGAGATCTCAACGAAGCCAGGCGATAGCATCGGTCCAAACGCGCCCACGACCGCGGCAGAGAGAGACACGATAAGGAGGATCATTTCCTTCTTCCATTGCGGCCAGTTGAGGGGATCATTGGGTGAGTCCGAGGGCTGAGGGATCAGGATGATGTTGGAAAACCTCCCCTTGCCGTGCTTCAGTACTTCTCGAGGTATGTCTGCGTATTCTGGTGGCAGGTCATCTTGGTCGCTCATGAAGGACGTGCCAGGCACGTTCTCCAACTTCTTACAATCGAGGATTCCGAAAGGCATTTTCTTAGAGCGGCTTCGATATCAGAGGGGGGACAAGGCTGGAGGCGAAGACCGAGTGACTGGACGCACCTCAGTTTAAATACCAACAGAGCTCGGAAATCCCCTCCGCACTGGATCCCTTCCTGATTGACAAGCTGGCAGTGCTAACGCAGGCGATGGCGCATGTGCTAGAGCAGAAGGGCGCGAGCGTTTGACTGCGGACCACTAAGCTCCATTTGACTGAAAGAAGCGTGGTGCCTAGGGCACTAGTAGCATGAAGCTTCGCTTCTCCATTTTGATCGCCGCAGATCGAGGTACAATCTGGACGCTACAGCAGTATGCTGGAGGGTCAAATGTGGTCTCAGGGGACAAGGCATGAGGCCACCGGAATACTCCCACTGACGAGGGACCGACAATCGACGAGTTGCCATGTGCTCGGACATACAGAGCCCTGGATCAACGGTCGCCACTTGCAGCGGCTCTCGCAGCGAAGGCTCCAGGTTGGACGGACGTTTGATGAGCATCCATCGCCACCGACTTACCCCACGGGCCGAAAGTGGAAAATGGGGGGTTCGGCTAGTGATGTTGATCAGTGGGTGGAAGGAGTTTGGACATCAAGACATCCACACAGCACGAGTGCGAGGATCCGGAAAGCTGTCCTCCCACTGCGACGGTGCGCTTCCCGGAGACCCCCCATAGACATACGAGGTGGTCCGGCAATTGAGCCTCTTGAAGCTGAAAGCGTATCTTGACGACGTGTCCCTTTTGCGCTGGCGGCTAGTCGTAATCTCTGTGGTCCGAGTAACGTGCGCGACGGGATCGTGAATCCGGTGGCCCATATACTCGTATCTGATCTGTGTCCCGTGGATCTGCGTGGGGGTCTTCAATACGCGATTACCAACCTGTAGTAATGCAACGATACCTAGTAATGGAAGACGACCAAAGGTGTTAAAGTGGCTTCCGGGGAGGAACAAAGAACGCGTCGGCGACGCGTCTTGTGTCTGACCACCGGATTGGCGTGTCACCACTGCAACTTTTCTGTCAGACTGATTAATTTGCTACCAGGTATCTTCTGTTCATTTATCGTAGACGGAGAGTTGCTTGATCCTTATTCACCAAGTCTTCACTCAAGCTACGCAAGCTGGTCAATCTCCTGCGCAACTCTGCCCTGCACACCATTCGCGGTAGCAGGAGTTGGCTCTGAAACCGCGTCTGCCTTGACCGACGCGCCACGGTCCAATTTCTTCAGCACGTCGTCTATCACTTCATATGCGTGTGTTTCAGCATCGAAGTCGAGCAACCAGGATTCCCGCTTCAGGTGCAGTGACTTGACGTCCTTCCAGATTTTGTCCCAATCAGCCTTGTGCCACTGCTCCCTCGTTGTCACACCCGTCATCTGAGCTCTGTGGACGCGTTCATATCGAATGGCTTCATACGCCCGGATCGCTCGCGGCACGTCATCTTTGCCGCTCTTCTCGAGCGTGATAGCAAGCGTCACTCCGTCTTCCATCGACTGGCTCGCTCCCTGTATCGATGTGGGCAGGAAGGGATGTGCCGCATCACCAATTAACGCAATACGAGCTTTGGGTGAGATGAAGGTCGGTAAAGGATCTCGGAAGACGAGCTTGTAGTCGACGAGCCGGTCTGCGGGCGTGGCGTCGACTATGTCGTGGACTACCGGATCCCATCCCTGCAGATTCCTCTTGACTTCCTCCTTGTTCCCCGGGAACTGCCAGTCTTCATCGATATCTGCGTCGTCTTTGTGTGTCAACACCCAGCTAAATTCTTTGCCATCTTTGATCGCCGCAGCAAGAAAGTGCTTGTCCTCACCAATCTGGTGTCCCGTTAGCCCCATATTCTCCTCGGAAATGCAGGAGGTACCTACCCAGCCGGTATGAGAGTCGCCGTTGTTGACCAGATGTTTCGTCCTTTCGTTCTTCGCAAGATCGTCAGAGGAGAACCATGCTCGATAAACGGCATATCCTGACGGCTTAGGTCGATCTTCGAAGCCCAAAACAATCTTTCTTCCAGCCGATTTAACTCCCTCTGCCGCAAATACGCAATCCGCCGTCAACCTTTCGCCATTCACAATCACGCCTGCTTCGGTGTCTGTCTCGAAATAATCGGAAATCTGCTGCCCTAGTCGAATGTCGATCCCTCGAGCTTTAGCATGCTCAAAGACAGCCAAGTGGATCTCGCCCCGGTGGCCGTTGATGCGGCGACCCCATTGCTTTTCAACGTCCCAGATTTGTCTGGTGGCGAAGGTACCTTTCCAATCGTAGAAGCTGAGGCCGTCACTGTGATGGATGATAGGTTCGAGTTTCTCAACGACTCCCTCCCAACGCTCGAAGATGTGACCAGAGTTTGAGGAGAAGCTGATAATATCTCCCAGGGGCTTTAATTGCGCGACCTTTTCCAGCAGTGTCACATCATGTCCCTTTCGGTTACATTCTATTGCTGCGCACAACCCAGCGAAACCGGCTCCGACGATTATGACCTTGATGCCCGAAGGCGGGAGTCTGAAGAATTCTGGCATCGTCGATGATGGCGACTAGACGTTGGATGCTTGGTTGCTGCTGCCGTTTTGGAGGTAAGAGTCAAGCGAGGACCTCTTGTGTATTGTGGACAGTGCTCATACATAAAACTCCGATGATCCAGAAGTCACTGCTGATCCACTTCTATCCTCCCAGTTTGTCGGACTCGAATATCGCCGTTCCCGTACGAGTACCCTCCCACGACTGGTCCGCTGCGGGACTGTCCACTATCCCGATCGAGCGCTGACGCACAATATGGAGAGGACACCACAAGCACCTCAACGTCTGGGGTTTCTCCGGCATCTCATCCACACCTAATTACAACTGCCGAGGATCTGGAGCTGAAAGCAGGGCCAGGGCAGGCGATGGGCTTTCTCCGCATCTGCAAAGCGACCCCACGACGAGCGCATCTCTCCTCTATCGAGGCACCACGTCTGAAGTGGCGGCGTCCATCATCCAATAGACGGTGAGGCTTTACTCGGACTCACTGACAGCGCGATTGGCTACATGCTAGAGATGGCCGAAATGCTTCTTCTTTCTCCCCTGGTGAGGGGGATGCGACGGATTCAGCCCGCTACAGTGCCGATGTGCAACAGATTTCTTCAATGCACAAACTCCTCGAGTCTCCCAAGCTTCTGAAGACTCCGTGAAGTCCACTCCATTACCGTCAGTCGTCGGTCTTCTTTGTGGCTACTCGACTTCCCGACTTGCAAGTGACCGTGACGGAAACATTCAAAGAGACCAGTCTCATATTGTTCTGGAATTCCTGAGCAAGAATGAGCTGGTCAACCATGTTCTGGGCCTGGGCGGGCGTGACGGCGCTGCTGCTCGTAGGAGCACTCGGTGTCCTGATCCACGATGTGATACTATGGAAGCGTATGCCTCCCGGGCCTCAGCCGCTCCCCTTCGTGGGCAACAAGTTCGACATCCCGTCCAAATACCCATGGATCCAATTCCAAGAATGGTCCAAAAAATACGGCCCGATATTCACGCTCTGGCTGGGCCGTCGGCCAACAGTGATCATCTCTGACCCTGTCATCGCATCCGAACTCCTCGAAAAGCGCTCCCACAAGTACAGCTCGCGGCCGCGGTTCGTCGTCATGGGCGAGATCTACAGCCAAAACAGCGGCATTCTCGTGGCCAAGTACGGCAAAGACTGGTCTGTCCGGCGCAAGGTCCTCCACAGCGTCCTCACCCAGAAGGCCCTGCAACAGTACAAACCCGTGCAAGAAGCCGAGGCTGTGCGCCTCTGCCAGATGCTGGTCGACAACCCACAGGACTTTGAGAGCCTATTGGACCGCTTCACGGCGTCCATCGTCTTCACCATCGCCTACGGTCACCGCATCGACAGCATGCAGTCCCCGATCATCCGCCAGCGCCTGAAGTTGATGCACATCATGGCGTCCCTGAACGTGCCAGGCCGGTACCTAGCCGAGTCGTTCCCGATCCTCGCACGCGTGCCAGAGGCGCTGGCCTCGTGGAAGCGCCAGGTCCGCGGCTGGGGCGACGAGAATGAACAAGCCGACAAACAACTCATGAACTACGTGCGCGAAGACATGGAGAACGCCAAAAAGCCCGGCGCCCCTCCTCTAGCCCCGAGCCTAGCCAGGCAACTGCTCGAGCAGCGCGCCGCCGACCCCGCGACCTTCGCGCTCCTCGGCGAGCGCGACTTCAACGGCCTCCCCGCTAGCATCTTCGGCGCCGGCGCCGACACCACGGCCAGCACGCTGTGCAGCGCCATCCTCGCCCTCGTGACCCACCAGGAGGTTCTGCCGGCCGCGCACGCGGAGCTGGACGCCGTTGTCGGCCCCAACCGCCTGCCCCTGTACTCGGACGAGCCCTCGCTGCCGTACATCCGCGCACTGTGCAAGGAGGCGCTGCGCTGGCGGCCCGTTGCCGTCCTGGGTGGCACGCCGCACGCGAGCACCGAACCGGACACCTACAAGGGCTGGTACATCCCCACGGGGACCAACATCCTGGGCAACAGCTGGGCCATCAACCTCAACCCCGAATACTACCCGAACCCGGACCACTTCAATCCGCTGCGCTTCCTCGACGCGGACCCGCACGCCCTAGGCTACCTGCCCAAGGAATACCTGGCCAGCACGCCGCGCGAGAACGACGGCCTCGTCCACCCGTCGCGGCTCGGCCACTCGAGCTTCGGCTGGGGCAGGCGCATCTGCCCTGGCGCCGACCTCGCGAGCAACAACCTCTTCATCGCCATCGCGCACCTGCTGTGGTGTTTCGACATCAAGCCGGCCAAGGGTGTCGTTTACGACACGTACAATTACACCGAGGGGTTCAACATTCGGCCCCAGCCGTACCAATGCGAGATCACGATCCGCAGCGAGAAGCACAAGGAGGTGCTGCAGCGGGAGTTTGTGCAGGCGAGGGATCATCTGATGAGGAACTTCCCGCTGTTCAAGGAGCATGAGATTGTGGTTTGAACGGAGAGGATGGGGCTCGTGGACGGGGCCAATAGGATGTTGCCCGTATGAAGCAGGGGGAAAACGTGGAGCATGCAGTCATCACGAGTACGAGGTGTTGTGTCGTTTAGGCCCGGGTGTCGATTTGGCAGTATACGGTGTAGTCTTCCGTGGGTATCATTTGTCGTCAAGTTCATCGTCCACCTTGCATACGCTTCAACCTCTCTTCCGCGGCTCTTGCTCTCCTTTCCCGCTCCAACTTCATCCTCATTTCGGGCGTCAGGCCTCTCGCCTCCTCTTCTCTCTTTTCAGCGCCCGTTTTCTCCACTGCTGCTGCGAGCGTCTTGCCGGCGCCGGCCTTCCGCTCGATCCTGGTCACGCTGCGCTTCTCTTCTTCCTGTCTCAACCTCTCTAGGTCAGCTTGCCTGCGCTGAGCTTCCGCAGCGTCTGAGATCGATTTTTCTTGTGCCGCTTTGGTATCTACTTCTTCTTGGGAAAGCGCCGAGGGGATGTGGGCGGCGGCCCAGTCGAAGGCGGTTTCGCCTAGCTGGTGGCGAGCGATGCGGAAGGCATCCCGTGTCTTGGCATCCCCTGCGATGTCGTACGCCGTCTTGCCGTCGTCGTTCCTGATGGTCGGGTTGGCTCTGGCTTTGGTGAGGAGCGCCAGGATCAGCGCAGGAGAATTTGTGGAGGCGGAGAGGTGAAGTGGTGTCGGGGCGTGGCGATGGTCTGCCGTGGGGAAGAAGGTAAAGTCTGGTGAGAGTTCGTTCTTGGTTAGGTAGAGGAGGACTCCGGGTGCCTTCGACCGCCGGATGAGGGCTTGCAGTTGCGAGGTGTGAAACTGTAGGGCCTCTTCTTCTTTGCTCAGCTTAGGGGCTTGAGGTTTCGCTTTCCGTTCCTTGGGGGCCTTCTCAGGGGCCATTTTCTCTGGCGCAGGCTCGACCAACTTACTGACCTTTAGTCTGGTTAGTTCTTGGAAGGAACGAAGAAGTTCGGCTTGAGTTGCTCGACGTGTGCTGAATGGGAAGCCACGTATCCGCTTGTCTGTACTTCTCAAGACTTGGCCGTCGTAGGGTCCAAATAACGTCCTTCTATTAGTAGTTCCTGTTGCACGTATGAAAAGCGATTCGGCGGTGTCGATCATTCCTCTCCAATCGTGCAGCACAGTTCTGACATCGGCTTCTAGCGCCATCTCATTGTACCTTCGGATCGATGACCCTGCGGAATGTGCGTTGCCTTTGGCATTGTCGTTTGCAGACTGAGAGCCGCCCTGCTTCCTCCTCGTGGTATATCGGTGAAACGTTTTGTGAGCTTTGACGACCGCATGGCGTTCTTCAACGCCGCCGGGCCCCTTTCGTAGCTCTGGCACCAATGAAACGACCATGGCTGCAAAATGGCCACCCCCTATCATACAAAGGAAGAAGTGGGGATCCTTCTGGGCAGCTTGCATTGCATCCTTTTGTGCTTGCCCGCTCGATTTTGCGGGCACTGGCTTCAGTTGTTTCTTCTGGATAATGTCCACCAGAGACGTGGGCGCTTGCTCTTGCTCCTCTGACGACAAGATGGCCCTGTAGACACCTAGGCGGACATCGTCCCCTAATTTGGGACTTGACAGCCATATCAGAGGCGCATTTCCATATCCACGCTTTCCAGAGTCTTCAGTCTCCCCATTGGCTTCTTGGTGTGATATTTTGGCTTGCTTTCTCAGCAAAGCTGTGAGTGTGCTATCTCCATCTTTTGATCCGTCGTCATTCTCGTCTTCAGAATCATCTGAGTCGGAGCCCGACAGAGACTCGTCCAAGTCACCGATTAGGCGCACAAAGGTTGCTTCGTCGACGGGAGGCTGTTGTTTTATGCTCAGCTTGAGATTGTATCGGTGGAAATCTGACTTGACGTGGTTTCGTTGGTCTTGGACACTGTTGAATATGACTTTGCACAACGAACAGGAGGTTGAGTTTGTAACACCGTCTTCAATGTTGTTGGTGCGCCGCACTGTAGGCTCATCTGTGGGAATATGGTCGGGTGGCTGCGAGTGTTCCTTTCCGGCGACTGTTAGGGTAAACAACAGCTCAGGGGGAAGGTCGTAGATGTATAGCGGCCGTCGTAGAAGAGGGTTTGTCTCAGCTTGACTGGTGTCAGCCATGACAGCCTGGTTCGAATTTGGAAATGGTTCAGGCTTGTAAATGTATCTTTTTGGGCTCACTCCGTACACGAGGCTCCGATGAGTCGATCAAAAGTGAGAGGCAGAGGCGGGGAGCATACGTCATAATCACGTGGTTACGCGATGGATCCACTAGCGCCGTTGTGCCTGACCGCGCCTGGTAAAGTTTCCACTTCGCCGTTGCTGCTGCCTCGAATCTTACAGCTGCCCTTCACGTGCATGTTTCACCTTCAAAGGCCATAAACACAGGTTTGTTCTCCCTGTTCTCATCTTCGTGCCGTCTTTCAATTGTTCTGATCCTGCTAGTTCTTCTCGCGAAAATGCCTCGGATCAAAGCGCCTCCCAAGTCTGCTGTCCCGTCTCTTGATGGCGTTACAATCTCATTTGCTTCTTACACACCCAATGCTCATCCCGAGCTCGGAAACAAGAGTGTTGCTCAGTTGAAGATTGACATTTCAAATTGTGGCGGGTCTTACACAACAAAGCCCAGCGATTGCACTCACTTGATTGCCTCCCAAGCTCAGTTTGACAAGAAAATTGATCGAATCAAGCAAGCCGAGAAGCACCCCCATACCTCTATCGTCTCTTACGAATGGCTTGTCGACTCTCTGGCGTCAAGCAATCCTGTCTCTGTTGATGCTTATCTTCTTGGTGACCCCGAGGATTCGTCTTCGAACGATGCTGACCCTCTCAAAATCAACCAAAGCCAACCTCCTCGGAAAGCCAGCGCCGCCAAGAAAGCATCAAAGCGTACCAGACAACAGGACGATGAGGAAGAAGACAACCTCCAGCCAGCGAAGAAATCAAGGCAGTCTGACCGGACAAAAGCACCCGCAGCCACTGCTGCTCCTACTGCCAAGTCCGACATCAAAGTCCCCGTTGATCAACAGGTCCCCTCAGCTTCGGACTACACAGTGTACATCGATGATGACGGCGTGATCTATGATGCCACTTTGAACAAATCTGATGCCGGTGCAAACAACAACAAGTTCTACAGAGTGCAGGTATTGGAAGCCAACAACAACTTCAAGACGTGGACCCGGTGGGGTAGAGTGGGTGATAGAGGTCAAACCAAGTGGCTTGGGGACGGCGACCACCTTCACGCTATCTCACAGTTCAAGACTAAGTTCAAGGAGAAGAGTGGAATTGCCTGGGAAGATCGAGATGGACCCTCGAAGAAGGGGAAGTACGTCTATCTGGAGGTCAATTACGAAGACTCGGATGCCGAGGATGAGAAGGAGACGCCAGTCCCAGACCAAGATGACGCCGACGAAGAAGAGCAAGTCCTCGCTGAAAGCAAACTTGACCCGCCGGTGCAGCGGTTGATGGAACTCATCTTCAACGTGCAGTTCTTCAATGCCACAATGGCTGAACTGGACTATGACGCGAACAAGATGCCATTGGGAAAACTCAGCAAGAAGACGTTGCTCAAGGGGTACGAAGTTCTCAAGGACTTAGCCTCTCTCGTCGCCGATCCTACTCTTGCCGCCACCATGGGAGAGAGCCAGCACCAAGCTGTTGCAGACCGGAGCAACCAATACTTCTCACTCGTTCCTCACGTCGTTGGTCGACGCAAGGCGCCTGTACTCCACGATATGGATTCCATTAGGGTACCGCCGCCCCTTTTCTTCTCAAGTTCTGGCTGACTGTTACGCAGAGAGAAATCCGTCTCCTGGAGGCCTTGACAGATATGCAACTGGCCAACGAGATCATGAAGTCCGCATCGGTTCAGAAACAAAAGGATATCCATGTTCTTGATGCGCGATATCAAGGACTAGGTATGAAAGAGATGACACCCTTGACCCCGACCGGCTCAGAATACAGCGAGATCTCGAATTACTTGACCAAGTCAGTTGGGGGCACCCACAACATCCGGTATACGGTTCAGGACATTTTTCGTATTGAACGGAATGGCGAATTTGACCGTCTCGACAAATCAGCCTATGCGAAACTGGGAGCGAGGAGTGATCGTCGTCTGCTTTGGCATGGATCGCGTGCTTCGAATTTTGGTGGTATTCTCAGCCAAGGTCTACGCATTGCACCACCTGAGGCACCAGTTTCCGGCTACATGTTCGGTAAAGGCGTGTATCTTGCTGACATGAGCTCAAAGAGTGCTGGTTACTGTGCGTCAGGCATCAGTGGTGGCACTGGCATCCTGCTTCTCTGTGAAGCCGAACTGGGTGCGCCAATGCTCGAGCTGACTGGCGCGGACTACCACGCCGGCGACCGTTGTAAACAGGAAGGCCGCATTTCTACTTGGGGTAAAGGTTCGGTCGCTCCCCAAGCCTGGAAAGACGCTGCTTGTATTCACCCGAGCCTCAAAGGGGTGAAGATGCCTGACGTCGTCAGCAAGCCTCCAGGACCGACCAATGTCGATCGTGCCTTACTCATGTGATTACACTCTTCCCTCAAATGGTTACGTTTGCTGACAGGTTTTACAGGTACAACGAATACATTGTGTACGACGTGGCGCAGATCAAACTTCGCTATCTTCTCCGGGTCAGCATGATTTAGGGCGGGGATCGTTCTTGACCCAGCTAGCTCGGATACCAGGGCAGGCCTGTGACACCAGACGCTGCTCGCACACATCTAGTTTGATCGGTGCAAGCTGCGACATACCACAACCATACAGCATACCGCATAGCATTCAGAGGACCACCGCATCAAGAAGCACCTTAACCACATCATCCACGTTACAGATATTGAAGTGCATCATTACACCCTCCATGAGCCCGGGCACAGAGCAGATATGGCATGGAGCTATCTCGGAATTCTCTCCTCATCTATATGGTGGTTTACATTTAGCCATATGCATAGCGATGGAGTCTTTTACCGCCACATGTCATCGACACTGGCCTAAGAGGTGAAATGAAACTGAGTTAAGCTTGAATCATATTTGTCCACACCTCGGCCATCCTCGAGCTGAAGACCCATTGGTCAAGCCCATCGAAACGCTTGTTTCAAGTGCTCCGCAAAACGTTGTTTGGTCAGCGCCGGCCACAGACAGCATTTTCATTGCACGTATGCGTTTGCGTCGCGTTTTGGATTTCTATCTACCAAGGTACGAGTTACCCATGTGATCCCCTTCAGCTTCGTCCTTGCAACGGTTTGCCCTGCCTTTCCCTGCCTCGCCATGACATTCTATCTTACGTTTTCCTGTTCGACTTATCTTCTCAAAGTTACTGACCCTGATAACTTTGATGTGCTGCGAGGTCTGCAACCCCCCACCTTTTCCGGTTTCACTGTACGGGCTCTGTGCCAGTGGACATTGCGTTTCCCTCTCTATCCAATACTGGACTCCTCACGCCAGAAACCCGAGGCTATTGAAGACCCTTTTCAGAAAGCCCGTTCATTCAAGCCTGCAGCTATCTTTCGTCGCACCACACTCTTTCTGTCCCCCCTGGGCGCCCGTTTCGCCTTGTGCTTCCCCAGCACAGTGCTCACTACGCTGAGGGCGTCGTCGATGATGACGTTGATTGCATTGTCGTTGTTCCGTCCACCATTGTTTCCTCGGTCGTTGGCCGCAACTCGATTGGCAGAACCATTGTTGTTATTGGAGCCGCGGCCGTTGCCATTGCCACTGCCGTTGCTTCTGCCGTTGCCACTGCCATTGCCATTGCCTCTGCCGTTGCCGCCACCTCTGCCATTCCCGTTTCCAGTTTGCGTGCCGGAGGAAGTGTCGCCAGTTGTAGACGCGGCGGCCGTCTCGTTTGCAGCGGCAGCAGCGGACCCGTCTACGACAGCAGTCTCGTTGCCTGCAGCCGCAGCTGCAGCCTCGTTCAGTGCCACAGCCATAGCTGCTGCTAATTCGGTCGAGTTTCCAGCACACGAAGCCGCAATGGCCGCCATGGTGCTGTTGTCCACAGCGACGGCTTCCGTGCCGTTGGCCGCTGATTCAAGTGCGGCGACCATGCATGCTGCGGCTGCGTCGAGTTGTGCGGTGGAGTTCGCAGCTGAGACGTCAATAACAGTCGAGTTATCGGCGGACACGGCGGCTATATCGGTAGAATTGTCCGCCGAGGCAACTGCGTCGGCGCCGGCGTTGGCGTTGGCGTTGGCGTTGTCTGCATTGGCACCACCGCCGCCGTTGTCATCGCTATTGCCCTTCTCGCTCTTTCGAGGAAGAATGGTGTCGCGACGCGAAGCAAGCTCATGGCTAGTTGGCGGTATGGGCAACACGTAACCCAGGATTCCTGGTAGAAGAAGAAGTGAAAGGGTGAAGAAAAGTGAGAGGAACCGGCCCATTGTGTGGTGTGGAAATGAAAGGACAACCTGTTGTCTGAGCTAAGAGTAAAAGAAGGCAAGCCTTAGGTCTGAAATGAAGGATGGTGGCAGCAGGACCTGCCCGCTGTAACGAAGGTGAAAAAGAGAGGAAAGGGCACGGAACGTTGACGCAGCCGGGAAAGGAGAACGGAAAGAGTGAGTGCAGGAGGCTCGATTGATATAAGCCGAGCAGCGCAAGAAAGCTGTCACCAGTGTCATGGCTTTCCTTGCTTGATCCCCTTCACTTTTCGTATGGGAATCCATGGAAAAGTGACTCAAGGGCCACATTTCTCTTGCATATTGCGCATCGAAGCCTGTGGACGGGCCAGAGTCGAGCACGGTCTGTTTCTGTTTTTTGTGCTTGGGTGTTGATCACGCATGTGCACCAGCCTTGTTGCCCACATATCTGCTCAATACAGTATGAGAGCCGGCGAATGTGCATGCGCCGTTGAGGTTCCAGCCAAGCGGAAAGCGAGAAGTCTGATTCAAGAACTGCGTGGTTGGTGTCTTCGATGCTTCGAGGCGGGTCCCAACTCCACCATGTCGACTGATGGGACATGTGCTGTAGCAACGTCGGCTTGGCTGAGGCAAGTCAAAGCAGTTGAGACGGGAAACGTGACAGCAGATCCGAGGGAATCACTGCAACCGTGAGACAAAGACTGCACGAAACTTGTGGGAAAAACGAGGATGTGGGTACCGATGTGGATATGCGCCGAGGCTTGCAGTGTTTCAGACAGAGGCCGTTCTTGGCATAACACTCCCATGCAAGAATCGCCGTCTGAGCATGATGGAATTGTTCTTGTTGAAGAGAGGCAGGTGCTTGATGTCGGGTATCACATTGCTTGTCATCACATAGTGTTTCTACATATCACGTCAATTCGTGTCATAGAACGACGCTTTCAATCACCTCCTAGGCGCCTACCGGCACCTCGACCATTCCAAGAATTCGAGAAGCCGCTTGTCCAGCTTCGACTCTGCTGTTGAGGGATATTCTGGGCGGGTCTGAAGCTTGTTCCATATCCCCTGTGGGTGTAGGTGCTTGTATTGGCGCCGAAGTATCGCCTGATGGCAGTGGGAGTTTGGATATAATTCCGTCCGCCTTGGAAAGTAGGGTACAGTCTTGTTAGGAAGTCGTAGAGGTGCGATGCAAAGACGCCTGTTGCTTGCTGCAAGGCGGCGTACGGACCACCCATAATCAAGGTAAGTGTAAGCATCGCCCAGGGAAGAAATTCGACGGGGATTTGAAGGATGACAAAGTGAGCTTTCTTGCCGCGGTTGTCTTGGGCATAAGTATAGATAAATGCAAGCATGAGGGACTGGGTGAAGATGTTGGCACCCAGGAGAAGACCACCAGACAACTGTCTCAGCTGTTAGCGTGCTACAGAGAAAACGAAGTCAAGTTAATCTAAACAAGAGGTTGACACAGGTGTTTGAATGTAGGAAGCCCGAACCGCTACCCACGATTTGATGCATCGCGGATAGCTTTCTCACTGAGCCACCACCATGCCTGCACCGCATACAGTCCTTTGACAGATTTGCGAATGATGGATCTGCATGTGCCACAGGGGTAATCTCCCTCATTTCCAGGAACCGCTTCAGCTAGGGAAAGGCTGGGCGGGCAGATATGCGAGGTATAATTCGGAAGAAACAGAGACGGCACGGAGAGCTGAGGTAAGTCGCTGGAGTATGGAACGGAGACGACATTGGAGACAGTGGAAAGAAAGAGCTCAGGTGCTTACCAAGATTGCAGTGGCCACGAAAAACACATAAGTGAAGAAATCGCCAGGTTGAGTGAACCGCGGTGAATTGAGCTCCAACCCAGAGGCGTATGTGAACACTGAACCGATCAGCACCGACGCACGAAGGGAAGGAAGTTGTTGACCTACTAAAGTACAGGTCGAAAACAAAAGAGAAGCCGCCGCCCGTCAGGAGGAAAGCGGAGAGGACTCGCCAGAGCTCGGGAGGGAACTTGAATACCCACGGCGTGTAATACACGACTCTCATGCCGCTGAGGAGGCCTGAATGGACCAGAGCCGACTCGGCAAACATGGCCGCCACGATTGTCCTATTGGCGAAATTAGCAACACGGAGGAAAGCTGCAAAGCCATCAGACCGCCCACCGAGTGACCGGAGGAGCACTCCAGAATCTATCCATAATGTCAGTACCGCCGCCGCTCATCTTGAACCAGTCCCACGAAGAGGAGAGAATTGAGAAGAAGGTCAGGACATCGATGAACTCGTTCGTGTTTCGGACAAGGTGTCTCGAAGACGCTGGCTTGAAAGTTCAGAGAGTTGTGCCAAGACAAGGCTCCACTGCAACCTCGGAACGGAAGAACTATTGACCGAATTCTCCGATCGATTTTTTGCAACTCCATCTGTTCCTGTCCGCAGTCTGCGAGCACAATAATTCAATTTGCGTACGACGCTCCCACATTCTGCTTCTTGTGTCGCCCGGTGCACATATCCTGAGAGAGGGCCAGTGGTGTTAGAAGCTTGGTCCGGTTTCTTCGAGCTTTGTGAGCTTTGTGCGCGCGCGCACTTCGCGCTCCAGGACTCGGATCTCGCACGGGCCAAAAATTTCCGCCAATATGGCAAAAGTCGAGGATGCCGATTTCAGCATCAAGCCAGAGAACGTCACGCCAAATATTCCTACTTCCGAATGGCCCCTACTGCTGAAGAATTATGACAAGTGTATGTTTCCGCCGTTGAGTATATGCGACTCGAGCTCACACAAATACTGCAGTACTGGTGCGCACCGGCCACTTCACGCCGATCCCAGTCGGATGCACACCATTGAAGCGCGACCTCAAGTCCTACATTTCGTCGGGTGTCATCAACCTCGATAAACCCTCAAATCCGTCCAGCCACGAAGTTGTCGCCTGGGTCAAGCGAATTCTACGAGTAGAGAAGACCGGCCACAGCGGCACGCTCGACCCCAAGGTCACAGGATGTTTAATTGTGTGTATAGACCGTGCCACCCGGTTGGTCAAGTCGCAGCAAGGTGCTGGAAAGGAATACGTTTGCGTCATCCGATTGCACGACAAGCTGCCGGGAGGCGAAGCACAGTTTGCCCGAGCACTAGAGACACTCACCGGAGCCCTCTTCCAACGGCCACCTCTTATTTCTGCCGTCAAGCGACAGCTGCGTATTCGGACCATCCACGAAAGCAAACTCTACGAGTTCGATAACGACCGACATCTGGGCGTGTTCTGGGTCAGCTGCGAAGCCGGAACCTACATTCGGACTCTCTGTGTGCACCTGGGGTTGTTGCTCGGCGTCGGCGCACACATGCAAGAACTGCGACGAGTAAGGAGTGGAGCGATGGCTGAGGCCGACGGAATGGTCACACTGCACGACGTGCTTGATGCTCAATGGATGCATGACAATAACCGAGACGAATCGTACCTGCGAAAAGTTATCTCTCCGCTCGAAAGCCTGTTGACCACATACAAGAGGATTGTGGTGAAGGATAGTGCGGTCAACGCTGTGTGCTACGGCGCCAAACTCATGATTCCCGGTCTGCTGCGCTTCGAAGCTGGGATTGAGGTGCACGAGGAAGTCGTCCTCATGACTACAAAAGGAGAGGCCATCGCGCTAGGGATTGCGCAAATGTCCACGGTTGAGCTCTCGACCTGCGACCACGGAGTCGTCGCCAAAGTGAAGAGATGTATCATGGAGAGGGACCTGTACCCGCGAAGATGGGGTATGGGTCCAGTGGCCTTGGAAAAGAAGAAAATGAAGTCCGACGGGAAGCTTGATGTATGTTGCATTCTCTCCCTCCGTGCTATCTGTACTGACGATTGTGTTCACAGAAATATGGTCGACCCAACGAAAACACTCCGGCGAAATGGAACGCCGAGTACACAGACTACAATGCCCCCACCACCGAAGGCACCACCTCTGCTCCCGTTGCCGAAACAACCTCTAAATCCGATGTCCTAGCCGCTCCCGCCCTTGCACCGACCGGCGAAGACGGCGACACCAGCATGGCCATGGATGAGGTAGCAGCAGTACCTCCCGCCACGAATGGCGACGCTACGGTCAAGGTCAAGAAGGAAGAGAAAGAGAAGAAGCGGAAGAGCAAGCACGAGGGCGAGACCCCCGAAGAGCGCGCCGAACGCAAGAAGAGGAAGAAGGAGAAGAGGGAGAAGAAGGACAAGAAGAAGCGAGAAAGTGGTGTGAAAGAGGATAGTGATGACAGCGATTAGGTGGACTGAGTACTCACCTGCTAAGTCGATCATGCGTCGGAGTATGTCATTCAATCCGCTTCCTTATCTGGATCAAGGAGCATCTGAGGCAAGGTACTCTGAGAGCAGGTGCCGGGCGAAGAGCCAGTCACCGACTTTGACACACGACCTCGACAGCGTCCGAGCGGTCATATCTGCGCGGACCGCTACCAGAGAAGTCCCAGGACACCATAACGCCAGACTGGCTCCAAGGATTGCAATGGAGCGTCGAACGCTGAGAGAGGACCAAGCAGTAGGACAGACGTAAGAGCTGCTTGGATGGTCGTTCGTGTCCCCGTGGTCTTATTCGGTGATTTCTACCTTGTCCACAGACGAGCTTGGGAAGGGCGAATGGAGTCGGAGGTGCTGAGCTGCCAATGATGGATAGGCCGCGATGCTGCGGTCTTACTGTTTCTGTTCATGTTCCTGTCTCTTGTCTCATGTCTCAGTCACGGAAAAGCAAGGTCAAGGTCAAGGTCAAGGTCAGTGTCGTGGGCATGTGTATCGTCTACTGTCTACCTGAACATGGGCAACGGTCCTGTATGTACGCGTCCAGGAATTCATACTTTTATGGCTTTGGCTATCTGTCGGTCTGTATACCAGCACGGCAATGAACTGTACGGAGTACTGGACCTCGATTCTGCTTTCAATATATCCACTCAGTATATACGCAGGTCACCGTACGCAGTACATAGCTGACATGACTTCTAAACGATGCCACACCGACCCTGTGGAATTGGATCTCTCCCATCAGTC